CATTCCTAACTTAATCCACTTTAACATATTGGGCTTTGAATAAAGCAAGAGGCTTTGAAAACGTATGCTAAATTACATCACAAACTCAAATGGCCTTTGACAAAGACAATGCAATTGTTAGAAAGCATCATTATCCAAATGCGAGTTTGAAAATGTTTAAAAGACATGAGTGGCTACGCTCAAACTATTATACCATTGCAATGGTATCCTTTTGAAATACATGGGAAATTCACGCAAACACCAAACATCATCATAAGAATGATATGTAACAATTATTATGAAGTGATTGAACCAATAGTATACATCATCCCTAGGATCCCCATAAAAGAACTCTAGCTAGACTCAAGGATTAACAGCAACAATAGAAGGAGTTGTACCATGCATTGTGAATGTTACCATCAATTGAGTTTAATTGTTCAACTACAATCATAATATCTAATAATTGCACCAAATGCTACTCTAAAGTCAAAAAAGGAAGAGGTTAATGCTTTATTATGAAGATGAATAAAAAAGAAAGAGAAAAAGATAAAAAGTTGAAAAAAGCTATAAGAAAAAGGAGATTTAGACAATGCAAAAGCTAGATCTAAACCAAAATCCTAAATCCTAACACTCAGAAATAATCAAAGTTACCCCTCATTTTCAACAATGTGAGTATATAGAATATGGACATGGAATATAAAAATATACATGTCAATTAGACCAAAAACCTTAATTTATATACAGAAGTGAGTAGTCTGGATTAAAACCAATTTGAGGGCTCCACTATGCTAATATTAGTATTTGATATCGTTAACTATACACTTGGACCTCACATGTAAAAATAACATAATGAAAATTAATATTTAGAAAAAATAAGTAAAGCGCATGACCTCTATAGATAAAGATTTTCTTTATTGATCTTATTGTTTTATCTTGTTTGTCTTGTTTTTCCCTAAATAAACCATGCAAAGATGTTTACAAAGGTCATGCCGGCATATTTCAGTCTGCGGCTTGAAGCCTGCTCAAGGTGCCCAGCAAATGAGTGGGTTCAAGGACCACACACACAGCCCCCACAACCTCAATAGCTAGAAGTAAAATGCTATCATATGGACGTTTGACTGTTAGTCAGTGCATGAATGACTAATTCTATTTGATTGCTATGGATGACCGAACAATGAATGACTTGACTAGAAGCTGGTCTTGGGACAGAAAGAAAGCAATTATTCATTTGACTTAAACAGTCTACTTGACATCTACGTGAAAAAAGACACTTGTAGGTAGACTTGGACACTCACATCATCGGAGACCCAGACGGCCACAGCCTTGAGTCTTCAGCGCGACTTGATCCACAGGGACAGGCTCCTGATTTTCCGAAACGGTCGTGGAGCCTTCCACGACCGAAACCACGACGCTGTCGTCGGATTTATCCACCAGTAACTCGGAGGAGTCCTTGGAAGCAGCGCATTTCCTGCGCTCGACTGCGTTCACGAGCATACACGCCGGCAGATTCTTTAGCTTGGACAAGCTCCTGGCGACGTTGAGGTGGCGAGCTCCCCACGATTCCAGAAACCAGGCCGAAGAGATCCTGAGAAACTTTTGGAGCTCACACATATTAAGAGGAGTGGAGATTGGAAACTTACCCAATGCATAGGTGAGAGCTCGTGACAATGGACTCGCCAAGCGGGAATTTTGCGAGAGAGACTACGTCGAAGATAGCGGGAAGTTTATCATCCTATAGTGGAGTGCAGAACAGGAGTCTGGAGGAAGATCTTGTGTCTTTGAGCCTATTGTGAAAAACATTATAATAAATGCATGTTGCTTTCCATAAGAAAATAATATTGACAACCATCGTTGATTGCGAATGGTAAGAAATCCATGGTGACTTGCTACAGCACATCCCTACAAGAATAAACAACACAAAGTTTAGTCAAGGTCCTTACAGCTTCAAACTTTGGTTCATGGATCACATGTCTGCAACACCTCTGGCATGTAAATATATAGGTTTCAGAAGCTAAATCCCATGATCTTCTTAGAATCTCATCCTTGACTTATTCTGGAAATGCTGAATAAAGTTCCCGACAAATGCACTCTACTGGTTTTTCCCACACTTGTGTTGGATCAAAAAAGTTCTCCCATCCTTCCTATTGTGACTCGTGCCAAAACTGTTTGATTTTTCCACTACAAGCTTCAACCTTGCCAAACTTTGTGATCTCTGTTGATGTAGTCAAGACTACAGTACAGAAACTTTCTGTTCTAAAGAGGAGCCTCAAATGGTCGGTCCCCAATTCCTAGATTGGAGTATCAATTTTCTAGAGGATGGAATATGTAAATCTCTGGGGTACTAGTATTTGTCAATAGCAAAATTTGCAAGAAGAATTGAGAAATTGACAACACAATATAAAAGAATCTAGATCATTTTATTTTGAAGAGAATGTTTAGTTTTTGTGATCAGTCTAAAACTTTGTAACTTAAGAAATTAGCCATATATGTAAATTGGCTTGTTTGTTGCTGATGAGGCAATTTTTTTATAAAAAAAATGGAAAGAAAAATAAAGAATTCTCCCATAAAGTTGCAGTAGAAGCACTCTAAATGAAACTCATATATTTTTTATGTAGGATGTTAGAATAAGAATAATTTGCTATGCATTGCATATAGCAATGCTTGATAGTAGTGTTATTTTTATTTATTAATTCAATTGATCAAATAAAGTTTATAATTATAAGCATGTTTGTAATTTGTAAACACAAGATTAATCTTATTGCATATCATGGTAGAAAAAAAAGAGAATATACTAGAAATGGTTTAAGAAAGTTTATAAATTATAAACATGTTTATAAATTATAAATATAAGATTAATATAAATGAATAACAACCATTAGATGGTAAAATATTCTAGAATATCTAAGCATATTTTAAATATATTCACTACCATCTCAGTTTGCTTAACCAAACAAAAAATGCAATTGAGTAAGTTGGCCAAGGGTAACTTTCAATTGTCAATTTTATGAAATTCCACAAGGACTTCAAAGAAGAATTTGAATGGTCTTCTTGCCACATGGATCAGGCTCACAATCATTATGAGCTTTTGGATTAGCCACAATTTCTATCACTATAGTAATTTGCCTTAACCTCACTCCCACTCACTCACTTTTCTTGAGTTCCAGCTTCTGAAATTCCTCCAAGCGCCTCAGAAATATGGCAAGAGGCATTGTTACTGTGGCATTTTGAAGAAGGCCAACACTAATCCCTCTCATGCCATGGGATTTGCTGGCTGCTCGAGGGCCGATAGATGACGTGAAATACGTCCTCAACCTAAGCTGTGTTTCACAGCAAGCAATGGCGGAGGTGACATGCAAATTCTGCAGCTAGTTTCTACCGGGAGTTTGTGACTGCTGCATCTGTATGTGGCCATAGTGTGTCTTAGGCATGGTCGTATACCCGTGGATCCACGCCCAGGTAGATATTATATCTAACTGCTTCAAAGGTTCTTTGTGCGAGCCATTGCTGGAAGGTTTTGGCCATCTAGGAGTAATCATCCAAGGGATTTTCCAAGAGTTTCAAGATCCCATGACTGGAGCACCAAGAGACAGTTCTTCCTGGCCAAAGTCATCACTGTTACTTTGTATGCTTCAGCACCAGGACTGAACACATCCTGGTGGGAACAGATTGAGGAAATGCAATATCAATTTCTCATGACAGAGTTGAACTTGCACATGGGAGATGTCTTACCCCATCCTCCTTATTGAATCCGGCCTTGGCATGGAAACGTCTTGTCATATATGTCAAAACACAAAACTTTCCATGCGGGCCATCTACGATTCCATTAGCCTAATGTATGAGAGAGGAGGTCGATGGTGGTCGGATCTAAGGAAATGGAGACAGCTAGGCCTTGGGTCTTATGGGAGTCCGATTGCAATGCATGGTATGTCCGTTTTACTGCTATGATGCGATCCATGACCCCGGATTGCCAAGGGTTGGTGGAGTGCATGACATAACCGAGGCATTTGTATTGGTCTACTATCTGTAGCTTGGTTCCTCGATAAAAGCAGTCTTTTGCCAATGGCCGGCTCACATATGCTTCTATCCCCTACAATCAGCACTACCATGACCATCAGGAGATTGCACAGAGAGTTTCCTTGCTGTTAAGTGTCATTGACTAAAACCAAAAGACACTAATACCCTTCAAATTGAATGAGAACTCCAAAGAGGAAACTGTGTCCTCATTTAATCAATAGGAACATTTATAAACTATAAACATAAGACCTATTAATGGTGTTTAATAGTGGAATATTTTAATATATTCAAGAATATTCTACACAACTAAGAAAATCAATGGTTGTGTATGTAGTTAGGAAAATAATTCCTAATCTTAATAAATTGCTATGTGTTGCAACGCTTAGTTTGCTAAATAATAGTTTCATTTTATTACTTATTAATCCAAGTGATCAAATAAAATTTAATTTAAGAAAATTTATAAATGATAAACATATTTATAAATTATAAGTACAAAATTAATCTAAATGAATAACAATCGTTAGATGGTAAAATATCCTAGAATATCCAAGCATATTTTAGGTATCCACTACCATCCTAAGTTTGCTTAACCAAACCAAAAATAATAATAATAAAATCTGGAACAAAACAAAGAACATTCTTAAAGCCAATAAAATACAATCCCCTTTTATCAGCAAGGGATAAGTAAGACAGGTCTCCAAGCAACCTCTAGTCCATGGAAACATGCAAAACACGACATAGGTTATAGATTAGATTATACCTATTTACATATTTCTTTAGTGTTGTTACTTCTAGGATGTCTACAGTAAATCTGCGTTCTTGTAGCCTCACAACTCATCAACCTCAATAGCTAGAAATATTCATCAGGCTGGTAGGGTGTATGTTTAACAAAGGATTAACGCTTGAAAGCCAGTAAAACCTTTAATCAATGTTAATTCTATTTGATTGCTATGCACACCTCAATGGACTAGAAGTTGGTCTTGGGTCCGGAGACAGAAAGAAAGCAATTTCCACAATGATCCTCTTCTAAACAGTCTTGACTTGGAATAAAAGACCTTGCTTAGTGACATCTACGTAAAAAAAGATACTTGTAGGTAGACTCTTTGCGAGTGGACTCTCACATCATCAGAGACCCAGACGGGCACAGCCTTTTAATTTCAACCATAAACTTCCCGCTATCTTCGGCCGAGTCTCTCGCAAAATTTCGCGACTTGGCGAGTCCATTGTCACGAGCTCTCACCTCCGCGTTCGAGAAAGTCCACTCCTTTGTATCTTCAATATGTGTGAGCTCCGAAAGTTTATCAGGATCTCCTCGGCCTGGTTTCTGGAATCGTGGGGAGCTCGCCTCAACAGAGGTCTCGTCGCCAGGAGCTCGTCCAAGCTAAAGAATCCGCCGGCGTGTATGCTCGTGAACGCGGTCGAGCGATACGACGATAAGATGAGTGAGTCGGATCACAGGAAATGCGCTGCTTCCAAGGACTCCTCCGAGTTACCAGTGGATAAATCCGACGACAGCGTCGTGGTTTCGGTCGTGGAAGGCGTTTCAGAAAATCAGGAGCCTGTCCCTGTAAATCAAGGCGCGCCGGAGACTCTGCCTTCTTCTGATCAAGCAAGCGTAAGTTCTCAAAAGTTTTAAAGAACTTGCCTCGACACTGATGTTTCCAGCTTCCAAATGGTGTTGCTCAGATCAGTACTCTAGCAGCGGGGCCGACGAGGAGAGCGAGGAGAAGCCCACCACCACCACCACCACCACCAGGAAGAGGCCCCAATTGATCGAGATCCCGTTTCTTCCATCTGCTCGGCATGTCTCTTTTCTTTGCTTCATTGGTAGATGATCCTGAGAGAGGGACCTCGCTTTCCTTATGAATACAAAACGATTCAAGTTCGCTTTCCATTTTTCCCTGTGCTTTGCTGTCTGTAGGCCTCGAAACAAACGCATTGAATTGCATTAAATGGCTTTGGCAGCCTTCTTGAATTGCGAGAAAGAAAATGGTACGAGAGATATACCTCGACTGTTGCAGCCGCCTCCCCGTTATTCGAGCCACTAGGACGTTGTAGCCAGAGTCTTTATCTTTTGCTTCTGTACAGCCCATCTGTTTTGAAGCAGCATCATCGCCGCCCAAGTTCCATACGAAACCTTCTCCTTGATCATCAGCATCAGTGCTGCCGCGAGAACGGTCTTCATTATCTGCGCATGCAATCCTTTGTAGAAGCCCAAAGCTCCTTCGCGTTTCCAGATGAGACGGCACGCCTGTGCCATTCCACGGGGAGGCTTTTCTGGAGCCTCACCACCGTTTAGAAGAGCTTTGACTGCGTCCGTGTCGTTTTCAGCTGCCTGAACCATGATCTTACACCTGTAGATACAAGTGTTAAGTTTCAACTGTCAAGTTTCAAAGCAAAAGCTAATCAAACCTTATCGCAGGATACGTGATAATCGTTGCCGCTGTTTTTGACAACGCACCGAGTAGGAACGCAGAGAAAGCTGAGATAACAAGCGGAGACGAATCCGAATTCTCTGCTCGGGACTTTCTGTGCCGCTTCACCAGTAGTCCTTTCAGCTGCTCAAACACCGTATACTGCACGCAACAGAATTGTTGGCGACAACGCGATTATGTAAAACCTTGCAAACCTGTATGGCAGGATTTGAGACAAGTACGAGCGAAGCACTTAATCCATCGAAGGCATCCTTCCAATTGCCACCAGTCAAAGTCTTCCACAAACTCTTCGACTTGCCGAAAGTGCTTGTTTGCATTTTGGCTGACGCCGAGTCTAGTGGCTAGTGAAAGAGACTTATCAGCTCAGCAAGCACGATCATCAAAACTTTCAAAAAGAAGAGAGCGAACTCACACCTGTATGGCGATCGCAGTACAAGTGCCAGCAGCTGCTGCGACCAGAAGATTGGCCGTAGTGCCGAGATACTTTGCTTTGCTACGTCTCAAGTAGAGCTGCTTGAAGTAGCTGTAGGCATAAAAATAAATGAATTGCGAAATCACTGACTGGAGATTCTTTGTACCCAGGCCCTGATACAGAGACAGTATCCGATTCGATGCAATAGCCTCGCGCATAACATCGAGTAAAGACCTGGGAATTTTGCAAAAAAAAAGATATCAGTACCAATGGAATGGAATAACGTGCTCCAAACAGAAACGACGAAAATCATCCTAGGAATGATGCAATGCAAACGATCATAGCAATGCGATCGTGATCCTAGACAGGAAAAAGCGAGGAACTCACCCGTATTTGCGAGAATCTCCCTCCCGGACCTCGGCTTGATACTTCGTCTTGCAAGTGTCGAGTGGATACAAGATCGTTGTGCTGAGAAGCCCGCCCACAGCTCCCGACGTCGCCTCCGTCAGAGCCTTGAAGTCCAGCGCCATGATCGCAGCTTCGATCGATCGCTCGCTCGCCCGAAATCCCCTGCCTAGCTGCTAGACACGCGCGCGATCTCTTCGCCCTATAATGCCCTAAAATCCTCCACGCGATCACACAACACGTTTCTCCTTCCCACAAGACCAGCACGCACACTTTCCACAAGGCGACGCCAATCCGACGGTCTAAAGATAGAAGGCCACAACGGAAATAGAGACACGTGGCGCCATGACCAAGGAGATCTGGGCCGTTGGATGCCGCCCTTGTGATTGCTCGAAATTTAGGGTTTATGGCGAGCGAGCGAGCGAGCGCGCGTCGAGGTATGAGATAGATCCAGGATCGATCGATGGGGATAGATGATAGCGTCGGCGACAGGAGCAATGCCGCCGTGGATCTGAATCGCACCGCCTCGCTTAAGAAGAAGAATGCTCCCAGATTCGACACCAGGAACATGCAGGAGCAGGCCAGGAAGGGATCGTGGCGTTTGCTGCTGGAGAATGTCAAGGAAGCGCGCAAGATCGCGGCGGTGTTTAGCCCCGAGGAGAGGATCATCCACACGACGTATCATATTTTGGCTCTGGCCAAGCTCGGGAACTACACGAGCGCGGCCGAGGAGCTAGCGGCTCTCGGGGATTTGCAGAACGCGAGCTTCTTCTACGAAGATCATCCAGACGTCTATCCAGGGATCTCCGGCTCGATGGTCCCGTTTAGCCTCCGGTGGCTCCACGCAGCGATTCCATACCGGATTGGACAGGCCTCGACGAGCATGGAACGCATGTATAGCTTGCTCGACTACTGCTCACAGAAGGAGGAGAAAGCCTTGGCCGCGGATGGAAAAAGCGAGGAGATCGATGAGATCTTCTCGTCGTTCCGGCTAGACGGTGGTGTTCTAGACGAGGAGCAGCGAAGCAACGCTCTGGCCAGGAGGTGGAAGCGACGCAAAGAGATCGTCAACTTTGCGATCATCAATCTCCATCTCGGGCAGAAGGATTACATCGTTGCTCTACGTTTTGTGAACGAGACACTGGCCCGAGATCCAGAGAACGTCGAGCTCTGGTCCAAGTTTGCGCACGTCCAGCTCCAGCTCGGGGACGTGGATGGTGCCAAGCTCAGTTTCGCAAAGGTGGAAGCTCTGGTGGACGAGCGTGCAAAGGGTGGCGAGGTCGATAGCTCGCTTCTGTGCCTTGTGGGAAGGAACAAGGGACTGGTGGCTTTTGTGGAGAAGCAGTACGCGGCAGCGGTGAAAGCTTACAACGCGGTGCTCGAGATCTCTCCCGGGGATGCTTTGGCTGCCAACAACAAGGCGCTGTGCCTCATGTACTCGAGGGACTTGATCCGGGCGACGCAGGTGCTGGAAGACGTGCTCCAGAAGCACACCGAGGCGGCGCTCAACGAGACGCTGGTGCTCAACCTGTGTAGCATGTACGAGCTCGCCGCCATCAACAGCAACGAATCCAAGCGCAAGTTGAGCTCCTGGATACTCCAAGTCGCGCCGGATGACTTCGATCTTACTTGCACTCGCTTGTAAGTAAGTGACAAGTCCTTTTCCTCCGCCTTTTCTCCTCTTGATATTGCGACTTACACAGGTAGTCGGAGTTCACACAAGGGAAAAAAAAATGCAAAAAGATTTTATTTCACAACAAATGGGTCACACGATAAGCTACCGAGGAGAAACCGCAAAACTTCTCACTCACTGAAGCGAGGCTAGAGAGAGGTACCCGACGATGGCAGCTCCAAGCACGAGCCAAGACGACGACGATAGAGATTTTGCTGCGGAGCTACCGGGTGGTGGATTGGCACCGGATTGCGGGGGAGGGGCATTCTCACCAGTAGGACCTGGAGCTGGAACTGGATGGAACAGGAAAGCAAGAAACATTAGACAGGGACACAGAGACAAGCGTCGGGGTCAGCCAGACTTACTCGTAGTGCCTTCGCAAGTGACGTTTGGGATGTTACAGCGAGACGGGAGCTCGAGCGCTCGGGTGGTGTTGATGTTGAGGCCGGAAGCCGAGCCGGTCATGGAGGCGAAGCTGCACAGGCACGAAGCGTTGATGTTGTTGATGGCTACCAAGTTGGAGCAGCAAAGGGCATCCGGGGCGGGGGCCTGGCCCTGGAGGAAGGAGAGGCAGCTTGCGAGACGAGTAGCAAGAGCGGTGCAGTCCTGCGGCGCTTGTGCTGCTGCCAAGCTCAAGAACAGACCCAGCAGCGCCATGGCGATGATCGTCTTCATCCTGAGAAGATGGGAGGAAGCGTTGTAGCGAAAGAAAATCGGGGCGTTGTAGCGAAGAGGAGAGATCCTCGAGAACAGATCGGGGAATTGGGGGAGAAGACTGGAAAGAACGATAAAGGAGCGTCCTCCTCTCGGCAAACCTCTAAACAAACTGGTAAACTATTTATTTGCGTGTGAGTCATATTTTCCTGACTTTGAAAGCAAACGTGGCGGACAAAGCCGTCAGTCTCGGAAAAACAACGGTTCCAAAACATTTGTGTAGCACTTCCATTCAGACTTGAATCCGCGTTGTTCTAGATCGAAAAGTTAGAGACAAGAATGTCTTTAAACACTTTACCACGTCGTCACGTAAAGTGATTCTTACATAGGATTATTTTATAGTTGAGTAAAACCAACCTTTATTAGTAGTTAACGTAGAGCAATGTTGATTAATTAAGTGAAACTTGTAACGAAGGTGTGGGGCGCATGCAACAGAACACAGGGCTGTTCGATGCCGTGGGGACGGACGATTTCGTCCTGGCGCAGGCCTTGAAGGACGGATGCATGAGGTAAACTTGGACGGCGACTGGGGCTTTTGTGCCGCGTGCGGATGCAACAAACACTTCCACGAGCCGCCTACTGAATCCGAGATCGGAACCGAAGCAGGAGCAGAAGCACAAGGAACTCCGGCACCTGCACCTGCACCTGCACCTGCACAAGTGGTAGGTAGGGATCATCATCATGATTGCAGCGGCCCAGCTTTTGGGAGAAAACAAGGCAACTCTAGGCGAGGGAGGGACGCTAACAATGGTGTAAAACTTGAGTCCCAAACCTGAGCTCATGGATGGGCCCGTGGATGCGCCAGATGCTGGTGGTATTGGAGATGTTCTTGTGGCCAATGGTGTAAGACCTCAGCTTGGTGGTGTTAGAGATGGGTTTGGATGCACCAAATGCTGGTGGTAGTGGAGATGCAATGGTGTGAGACCTCAGCCTGGTGGTGTTAGAGGTTGTTTGGATGCACCAAATGCTGGTGGTAGTGGAGATGCAATGGTGTAAGACCTCAGCCTAGTGGTGTTAGAGGTGGTTTGGATGCACCAAATGCTGGTGGTGCTAGAGATGGTGCAAGACTGGCTGTGGCAAATCCTCCAGCGCCTGAGCCCATGGCTGGGGTACAAGCAGTGGTAGCTCCAAACCCGAGGTGTGATTAATGGTGGGGGTGGTGGAATGCAAACTGGGAGTGCTGGAGTTGGAGCAACCAGCACAAGAAGCAGCACAAGGTGGAGGAGAAGTGCACAATCTAGGCAGTGAAATCCCGGGCGAGCTCCGGGGCGCGTTTGAGCAGCTAGGTGGTCTTGACTTTGGATACACAAAACGATTATATAGTGGATTTTTATTTATCACTAATAAAAAACTCCTCTCGGACCATTTCTCGATTTGTGCGTGTCATCCTTGCGCAGGGCCATGCTAATCTTCTCTGTATCGTTCCAATTGTATCTGGTGTCCCCGAAGAGACATAAAAACTCCTCTCGGACACTGCGTTTCCCAGCCTTGTTTTTCTTTCTTTCCCTAAGAAAAGCATTCACATCTGATAGCTGTGGATGCAGCGATCGGTGAGTTCAAGCCTCATGTACTCCTTTGTGCAGGTGGAGATCTATTTCTTGAGCCTGCTTTGTCCTCATGGCGGTTTTGACATCGCTGTGATATCAGCCAATACCGACGTGCTGCATTACCTTGCGGTGCGGCATAGCTCTTGATGCAAATGAAGAGAATCTCCTTTCCTCTCTTCTTCTTTGTGTACTTCAGCACTCATTACTGAGTTTGGTGTGAGGTCTTGACACAAATGAAAAGAATCTCCTGTTCTCTCCAAAACGAAGTATCACTTCTGCAAGGTACAAGAAAACTCTCTCGTTGTAAGCATCCATCCAATTCGTTTGAGTTTGTCGACATTCTCATGCCATTTTGATCAAGGACTTTGCATTTGGGTTGCAAGATTCCTTTCCTAAAGATTTATGAAGATCCGCAACGTAGAATGTTTTGAGATTTGCTTTCGTGCACTCTGGTTTTGGTCTTGAGCCAAGAGAGACCTTAACTGTTTTTTTTTTCTCTTTGGCTGTCACGGTTTTGCGAACGAAAATTCTAATGACTATGATCATGGGTGGAGAAGTGTTTTTTTTTTTTGCATTTTGATATGAGAAAATTTTTGTTCATAGTTTTTTATTTATCTGTCTTTATATTTTTATTCAAAATAATTACGTTAATACTATATGATGCAACCGTAATATAATAACCATCACCGCCAAATATTCCAGCATGCATCCATATAAAAATAATGAAAAAAATTAGAGATAAAGAAGAAATTAAAAAGCCAGATGCTAGAATCCAAGCATATTTCAAGTCCATCCAAACTTTCAAGAACTATCTGGACATTTAACGCCAGCGACTTTGACCCCATGAACACGAGCAAGTTAGGCGTGTTTTGGCACAGCGGCTTAAATGACGCAGAAACGCATCAGGCTCGCCAATCTAGAAGCATGTGTTTCCCCTTAATTATTATTATTATGCAAAGATAAAATAAAAGATGGAAAAGATAAAAGTCTTTTGTTTCAATCATCTAGAAGAGTCTTCTCCGCAAACTGGAGCAAACCAAGAGCCCTGGGTACGTACAAACCCACTTTTCGTTAAAACGCTAAGATTTTAATGCGAGAACTTTGAGTTTGAATCAAAGCGATCAATCATAGAAAATGATGAAATAATGGATTGTGGTTATGCTGTATTGGATCGCAAGCTGGTTAAATACTTTATGCCGCAATCCTACGCAGACATCCCTTTTTCTGTCTATTCAAAGAAAGCTTACTATCCAAAACTGTGCACTTTTCTCGTCAGCTGCTCTTCGCGAGCCTCTCTACTAAAAATCCTGCCCAAAATGCAGCACACGCTACAAAGATACAGCTTACTGTTAGCAAATCTACCTAGTCTTCGTCACCACCATCTGCTCCGGGATTCTTCTTTGGGCCTCCAGCCGGTTTGGCCATGATAATCTGCCAAAAGGCATAGCGTCAACAACAAAGCGTATAAAAAAAGAGAGGAAATGTTTACCTGATCTATCTTGAGCACGGTAGTGGCGGCTCTCGATGCCAACTTAATCGCCCAGTACCTTGACACAAGTTTCAAATGTCAGCAAGGTCCTACTAAGCCTCAAACGAACTTACTTTGTTACAAGCAGATCCCTCGTCTCCACTGGCGCGGACAATCCCTGCTCAATATCGACGCCTATCTTGGGATTTCCACCCGCATGCGCAGCGTAGAGAGCCGAGATCACATCAGTAGAGTTTAGACCCGCATTTTCAGCCAGAGTTCGAGGCACAACTTCGAAGCTCTGAGCAAACTTTCTTATCGCGTACTGGTCCAAGCTGCAAAGAAGAAAGTTAGATAGGAAATGTCAGCACAACGCTACACAGTACCCTGTCTCCTTGGAAGCAATGTCATTTAACTGTTTGGCTAACTCAATCTCCGTTGCACCCGCACCAGGAACTGTACGGCTATCCTTGCACATAGCCTACACAACAAAAAGAAAAACAGTTTCATAGGAAAAGGAAAAGCAAAGCTTTAAACCTTGTAGCAATTCACGCCATCGTCAACTGCACGCTCTACATCGTCCAAAACACTGTCGGTGCTTCCTCGAATTACGAGAGTTGAAATCGAATTTCCGCCCGATTCATTCCTCACTACGACCACCTGGACAAACGGAGATAAATTTGAAACCGGAAAATAATACAAAGATCAAATCTTACTCTCGCGCCACCAATTTCTTCAGATGTTATATTATCGACGTAACCCAGTTCGTCAAATCTTGGCCTCGACAGCTTAACCTGCATAAAAGAAAATTCAGTGCGTCAAAGACAGACATGCAAAACTCATACCAGCGACACGGAACCAGTAGTCCTACAGAACCGTCGCAACTCAAACTTGGAGATGATTTTTATAACCATAAGGCTGCCAGAAAATAAAAGTGAGACATATAATATCATCACAGATCGTGCTTACCCATATCGATCACAAAAATGCTGCGCCATTTCACCGACAGCACCACCGCTAACAATAACTTTAGCACCAGACTCTGCTACACTTTTAATGAGCTCTTCGATCTTGGCTTCTTCGCCCTTGGCGTAGTTCTCAAGCTGCTCAGCGGAATGAATGAGAACTGTTCCTTTGGTTTCGGTAGCTGAAGTGTCGACACCCCCTCCAAAAACAGCAATCTAGAACATAAAGGAAACTGAGGGCGGATAAATAAAAAAAGCGTCCAGACCTTCGCTTTGGTCGCACTTTTCACAGTCCCAAGAGGCTCGACCTTCAACACCATGCCCCTTACGACACAAGAATCCCGAAGACCACCGCCAAGCAGCTTCGCAACTCGAACATTATCGACATTGAAATTCTCTGGATTCCTGGGGCAAACCTGAATGCAAGCCTGAAAAAAAAAAGTTTTTTTTTTCCATCAGTTCATAAAAGAACTCTTTCAACCCGAGACTAACCTCAGCAATAAGAGGACACAGAAAATCCTCCTGGCCATACTGTTTACTGGCAACAGCGGCTTTCATCCTCAAAACAACTTGCTCTTTGTTGCGACAATCCATAGTCTCCGACCCGGGCTCGGCAAGCTGTTCGATGATCTCCAGTGCCTAGATGAAAGAAACAAGGAAGAGCTTCATCTCAATCTCTAAGAACTAAATAAGAACTGAGAACTTACCTTCTGGCTGGCTTTCGTGTAGCCTCCGACGATCTCACTGGGATGCAAGCCAATGCGAATGAGCTCCTCGGCGCCTTGCAAGATCTCTCCCGCAAATGTCACCACCAGATTAGCGCCGTCTCCGATCTCCTCCTGCTGCGCTTTGCTCGCGAGGACCAGCAGCTTCGCCGCGGGATGCTGGACTTCTAGCTCACCGATGATGGTCCCCGCGTCATTCGTCACAAACAGCTTGTCCAGGTGATTGATCACCATCTTGTTCATGCCTGAGCCAGGAATCTCACACTCAGGCACAAACAAAGAGCTCGATTCACTCACCGTTGGGGCCGAGGGACGTCCGAGTGATCTGCGACAGCTGCTTGCAGGCATCCACATTCTTGAGCACCGCTTCCTCGAGGCCGGAGAAGATGCGGTGGCCATCCTTGAGCATGGACTGGATCCCATACGACGGCTGCATCAGCGCCATAGCTGCAAGAAGCAAGAACCCTAAACTCCAAAAACTTTTTAGGGCTCTTACAAAGAATATTCAGCTAGGATATATTCTTTCTCGTTAAGAGCATATTCTGTCAAGTCTCCTTCGTATAGAAAAGAATGTTTCTACACATGAAAAACACGGTATACTTTCTCCTCACGACAATGTTGTTGCAGCAACAATCTTATCAAAACTCCCCCCAAATCCTTTCTTCCGCAAACTTCCTTCCAAACCAAGAGACCATCGCCATAGTCGCTCACTCGCTCGATCGATTCGTCGCGAGCTCTCTCTTGAGTTTGATCCTCCTCACGGCTTGAGAGCCACGGCCAACCCGATCTTGGGACGGCTGTTTAGCGCTTTTGTGTCGACCTCTCCACACAGCGTGACCGTCGACTTTGGCCGCCACTCGTGTTGCAGGAGAGCCCCAACTTGGCCATGGTTGTTGAGCCTGGCCTTTACGGCCGTGAGAGGATCCAACACGTACAACGCACCGATGGTGAAGGTGTTTTGTTTCTTCGAAATGCTGTGCGAGACCTCGGCACCGACGGTCGTCTTGGTGTTGGCGTTCACCGTGTGACAGTAAGAGGCTTTGAGCGTGTCACCCTTGTCGGCGCTGGAAACAAAAGAGTATCGCCTCTTAAGTTCCCACAAAACAAAACGCTCGAAAAGATAAGGAAGCTTACGTGATCAAGGCAGCACTGTAGTCCGGCTTTGTCAGTCCAATCCCACCGCTGTATCTCGAGAGCTTCCCGCTGGCCGTGTCGAACGAGAGCTCACCACCTACAGCCACCACATCATTTCCAAGAGCTGCGCTTAAGTCAGCAACAGGAGATGAAGTCAAGCCAATACTGGTGGCCAAGCCGAACAGATCATGGACGTACTGAAATTTGATCTGGGAAAACCCAAAGTCAAGCCGGAACTAAACAAAAGCAGCTCTAGAGCTTGCGTACCTTGCCACACTTATTGTCAGGGATGGTGAACGTGAACACCGTCTTAGCACCCTTCGCAATCTCATCGGCAGTGATGACTCCGTGAATCTAGAACACCAGTTCTTTAGCTCAATGCGATGATCAGACCAAGTTGGAAGCTCACATTGGACTCCGTGTCGACTTTGACATTCACAGTCATGTTGTTCGTCTTGAACTGGGTGTTGACATTCCCAGCAAATTGCTCCCCCTTTTTGTTTCCGAACGATGTGAAAGTCTATAAAAGAAGGGAATTAATTAGCTCTTGAAGAGAAAAAGAAGAAAGAGAAGTCCATACAATGCCCGAGCTCGTGGACGATGTCACGGTGAACTTCTGATCACTTGTAAAATCCCTGGTCAGGAGGTCTGGAGTGGCAGCCACTAGGTTAGACCCAAAACCCTAATCCTGAGCGACCAGAGCCTACCTTTGGTGCGCTTGCCGATATCGCCAAACATCCCCGGCCCCTTCCCCATTCCTGCCACTGCCAATCCAGCAATCAGTCGAAATCCGCGTGAAAAGAAACGCGAGAGCTCCAAATCAAGAGCCCTAGTTCTAGAAATCGAGGCGCTGGCGAGCGAAAGAGAAGAAAGAAGCAGCGATTCTCACCTCGAGCACACGGCGCCTAGAGCGCCGCCAAGCCGATTGCAGTGGAGAAGAGAATGTGGCGAAGAACACGGCGATCTGGGAGGCGATATTTAGGTCTAGACGAGGGAGAGAATTTGGAGGAAAATGGAGAACGATGAAGACGCAATAGTCACAACAGTCAGCCCTATTTAATTCCGGCCCCGGCGTCCGGGGCTTTAGGGCTCTTCCGACGTGGCGGACACGTGTATGCCACGCTGTCGTGGTTATACCCTAAATAAGAAAAGCATCGCATGCAAGAACCTGGGATCGAGGGAGGGATTTTTATGGTTCTTGCGGATGGATGGAGGCCCTAGTGTCAGATCTTAGGCGGCTCAGGCTCTACATCGACGACGCGCTCGACGAGCCCCCGATCGACAAGATCGTCGCGGCTTTTCATCGCGCATACAGTCCCAGGGCAAGATTGGCGATGCCGGCCACGCATCGGCGCCGGGAGGAGCAGCAGTTGCTCGAGATTTTGCGGATGGAGCAATCGCTCAAGAAATCTCTCTCCTGGCAGATCGTCGATGGAAATTTCTCCTCCGGCAGCTCTTCCAGATCCAGTTGCCGGCCCTTCTCTTCTTCTTCATCGTCGTGCTCCAGTGATTCTTCCTCGAGCTCGCCATCGAAAGGTAGTGCCGGGTGTCCCAGAAAAGAAGGATTCTATTTTTTTGGTTTGAGACTCCATTCTTTGGACAGATCCATCCGAGGCAGCAACTCCAAAGCTGTTGCCGATGACTGTGAGTCCGAGCTTGGACTCCATCGATGCGATTCGAGGTATAGGCTGGTCCTCTTTCATTTTTTTCCCTTTTCGGTTTGGTTTTTTTTTCTAGATCCCGCAAAAGTTTTTCTAGATCAATGCTCGTCGTTAGAGAGGCAGCAGCATGCAGAGACGATGAATTCTTCTGTTTTCCAGGAGGCACCGCAGTCGCAGCCAAGATCCTCGAGCTCTCTTCACGAATCTCAAGAACTTGTCAAGGAACACCTGGTCACATTCGTCGACGAGTTGATCGGAGTGGTCCAGCTCCAAGAGGGGCTTCTCAACAACATGGTGGAAAACAACTTGAAAGACTCGCACACTTTGAAGAGTTCGATGGATGGCCATCGAGATCTCCATCGCGATCGCAACGAAGTGGCTGCCAGATCTTTTTCCCCTGCTGCGAGCCAAGACGATGGCGTGGAAGAGCTCAAGAAGAGGGTGATGGAGCTGGAGACCATCCAAAGCCACTGGCTGGATGTAGAGGAAAGCAAAGGTTTAGTTCTCCGGCGTGGGTTCCTGGCGTTGCTCCAGGCAATCCTCCTGTGTATATGTCTTGTCTCTCTTTTATCTCGAATAGCAAATGCCGGGATCACTCCCACTTAGATCTCCACCACCTTTTTCTAATTTAAAGTCTATCAAGTTTTAGATTAATGAAAATTATACTATTTTCGTTTAGGGGAAGATAGATAGTTAATAGTCTCGTATTTAACTGTCCCGTTAAATACTTTATCCGTACGGATCCAGCCTTAATTAGAAAATCTTCCGCAAAATTTCTTTTGTGCATGGCGGGCGTCGAGTACGTAAGATAGAGAAAAATGTGTGTTGTGGGGATAGGGTGGTAGGGCTACCCTACATAGAAAACGATAGAAAGGTGTAATGATTGCGATCCGGTTTGGAGCCTGGGAATCGAGGAATAAGAATATTCTTGTCCCGGCTTGCTTGTGCTCGAGCCGCCCTCCATCACTCTCGGAAGGCCGTACGGTGGGAAGTTAAGCGAGAGTGACACGAGAGGTGATTTGTGAAAGATTTTGGCCTTTAAGCGCTTCCAAGACCGTACAGTGTGTCTACAGCCGTCGGATGTCCCGCCGTGCGAGCCGTTGGATGGGGGATGGAACAGGGGTATAATTTAGGGTTCTTGGCATTTTGGGCGGGCAGAATGATGATCTTCGCTCCGCCGATCGTTGATCCTGCTCCGGCTCAATGGATCAAAATCTTCCCGCGCTTCCTCCCCGCGCCGATCTTGTCCAAGCTCAATCCCGATGCTCGGGAGTTTCAGCCGCTGGAAGAATCGATCGCTCCTCTCCCGGCATTCTCTTCTCCTCTTGCTCCTCCGCATCGTCGGCACGAGTTTAGTCTCGTGCAAGAATCCTCCGACGAGGATGAGAATCGCCTCGAGCAGCAAGAAAGTGGAGAGGAATCCGAGACATCGGCTCAAGAAGATTGCGATCGAGGAGGAGAAGAAGAAGAAGAAGGCATGGCACAGTATTTCTTCTATCCCTCGCCGATCTTCGATTCGATCTCCAACGTCCGCCACATCGCCCCATCCTCCATCGCTCGCGAGCACTCCTCCCGCTCGCTCATCCTCGGCAATATCCCCTATCCGATCGATCCCGGCCAGCTCCAGTCCCAGCTCGAGCAGTGGGGCGCGCTGCGCTACATCTCCTTCGCCGCCATGGCGGAGCGCGGCATTGTGATCGCCCACTACTGCGACGTCCGCCACGCCGCCCAGGCGCTCAAGGACATCCACGCGCAGCACCTCATCCAGCAGCACAAATTCCTGCTGCTCCGCCGGATGGATCACTTCCAGAGGGCCTGGCGTCACGCTGCCCGAGAGGACGCCAAGAGCGCCGCGCGGCGCCAGATCGAGGTGACGCGGGCGGCACTGCGCGCCGCCGGCGAGAAGCTGCGCCGCGAGCGGGGCCTCGTTTGCGGCGCCGCGCTGTGGGCCAAATTCGTGCCGCTGTGCTGCTGCGTGAGCGAGAAGGAGGAGTTTCCAGAGATGGAGAATCAAGGCACGCTCGTCGTCTTCAACCTGGATGTCGCGATCTCCATCGAGACCATCAACAGTGTCTTCAAGAAATACGGTAAGAATGGGTTTTTCTCTTCATCTCTAGGTAGCTCTTTCTTTCTCGAAGATCGCTTGCTCTTTGGCATTGTGTTCTGTGAGTGTTCTATCATTGTCTTGCGTGGGACTGGTTCTTTCTTGAGATTTGCGAGCTAAGCTCTAGAGTTCTTTCCACTTGCGCTATAGCCAACACGCATTAAATAGCAAATCTAGAAGCACTAGATTCGCTAGATTTTATTTTCTCGGCTTTTATGGTGTCCGCCAACTTCCAGCTTGTGAGATTCTAACTCTTCTCTGGAATTTGCCTTGCCGGCCAGGTGATGTGAAGGAGATCCGAGAGACTCCGATCAAGCGAACGCACAAGTTCGTCGAGTTCTTCGACGTGCGCGACGCCGCTCGAGCGAAAGAGGCGCTGGATGGCGAGGACATTCTCGGCAGCACTGTCAAGATCGAGTTTAGTCGCCCCGGTGGGATGCTCCAGAGGCACAGCGAGCACCATTCCATCCTCGACTTGTACCCGGCGGTGGCGTTTGAGAGCTTCCAGCGCGCGGTGGAGTGGAAGGCCCCTCCTCCTCCAGCAGCGGCGCCGCTCTTTACTCCGCCTGGTTTCTACGCCGGCGTTCCTCCGGCTATAAGCACGTACCAAGCCTGGCAAGCTCCTTTGTGGAGTTTCTCCGGTGCTCGTGGGAATCCGAAGGAAAGGAGAAGAATGCTCGAGGATTGCTCGTACAAATTCGACGAGGAGTTGAAGGACGAGAGGACGACTCTCATGATCAAGAATCTTCCCAACAAATACAGGTAGAAGTTTCTCTTTTCTTATGCATCGATCGCTTCTCATTCTTGTTTTTGTGCTCTTCGCAGTCAGGAGAAGCTCATGGACAAGATAGATGGTCATTGCGCTCAATGCAATGCGCATATCGACAGTTCTGAGGATGTTTCCGCGTACGATTTCTTGTACCTTCCGATCGATCCCAGGTGACCATCGTCGAGTGTTCTTTTACTATGTACGCGGTCTAGAGCTTGCTTTCCCAGGAACCAGTGTAACCTTGGTTACGCATTTGTCAACTTCGTCTCGGTCGCGGCCTGCGGGAGGTTTTACAAAGCGTTCCACAACCTGCAATGGGAAGCACACAACTCGAGGAAGATCTGCCAGATAACTTACGCTCGAATTCAGGTGGAAATCTCTGGTTTTCTGTCGCCATAAGTTCTAAACGCTGTCGGCCATCGCAGGGAAGAGCGAAGCTGCAAGAACACGTGAAGAGAGGAGACCGGGACTCTCTCCCTCTCGTGTTTGATCCGCCGCGAAGTGGAAAGATCTAGCTTCGAGTTGAAAGAAAGAACCTTGGATCACTAAGACACTAACTTGATAATGTTGAAAAAGGTTTTATAGATTATAGGACCTCCAAAATTTGTCGAAGTACTAAGACGTGACACGTTCGAATCTCTGCCCCAGCATGTCTAAAAAAATTGGGTCCCTCTTCTTCGGGTGGGTTCGAACCCGGGATCGGCTCTACAAGGCGCCAGATCGAGCTAGAACACTCTTCTGCTCAAGAAGAGATGCTTCTTCATGCTAACAAAAAAATCTATCAGAGATAAAAGTAGAAAAGAATGTTGTGCATCATGCCTTCTCAGGTGGAAAGCTTGTAAATCCTGAATAAAGGAAAACAGACCTTTCAACAAAGGACTAAATCAGATAGCATCACAAAATCTCTCAAGCTGTTGGGAGAGTTTCTAGCCAGGCAACACAAGCTAGTAAAGCTTTTGGACTTGTTATAAACAAGCAGAAGCATCGTAGATATTGTATAAATGTGCTCAGATATCATCACATACAATAGGTGGAGGTAAATGTGGTTTTTCTAATTGCCTTTTATCCTTTAAAGTATCTAATGTCGTTGTAGTATAGTGGTGAGTATTTCCGCCTGTCACGCGGACGACCCGGGTTCAATCCCCGGCAACGGCGAAATTACAATTTCTTAATTAACACAAGCTTTTGAAACAGAGGCATCCTCGAGTTGGATGGCTTGAGAGATCCATCCGGCCTAGAAGAAAGCGGTGTTGATTTGTTTTAGCTTTGTCAACTAAAGATTTGTATCGATGATCCAATCGGTGGGAGTGGGAGTGAGAATTCTCGCGCTGTGCTCTGGAGAGAAAACCGATGAGAGCGCTCGCAACTCGATCGTTCTTAGCTTTGGAAGGCACAAGGGGAAGCGCCTAAGCAGCGTTTCCAATTCTTATCTCTCGTGGATGGTCGCCAATCTCCCCGGCGATCCATGGGCGGACTTGGCACAGCAGCACCTCTCGGATCGCCGGTCCCCTCTCTCCTCCCACTGGCGATGGATCGAATCGTCGCTCGCGGGCGCCCAGTCGCTAGAAGAGGCGCGTGCGATCCAGGCCCGGATCTTCGCGAACTTGCCTGGGGCCGCGGAGGATGCCCAAGTGGGCAATCTTCTCGTCCAGGCGATGGCGCGATTGGGCGGGACGAAGGACGCGCGCGTGGCGTTTGCGAGGATCAAGATCAAGGACGCCGCGTCGTGGAGCGCGATGATCGAGGGGTACTCGCGCAATGGGCAGCACCGCAAGGCGATCGATCTCTACCGGAGGCTGTTGTTCCAGGCGGAGATCGAGCCCAATGCGGCGATCTTCGCGGCCGCGCTCGAGGCGTGTGGATCGCTCAAGATGCCCAGAGATGGCATCTCTGTTCACGCGAGGATCGCTGCCACCGGCCAAGAACTCCTCAAAGCTCTCCAAATCAGCATCTTGGAAATGTATGTGAGCTGCGAATGCATCGATTGCGCAAGAGCGTGGTTCGAAGAATTCGCTCCAAGAGATGCTATGGTGGCAAACGCGATGATTTCAGCATATGCCCAACACGGGCATTTTGACGAGGCTCTTGACCTCTACGAAGCTATGGTGTCCCGGGGCGTACGGCCAAGCTCTCACGCGCGGCGGTCCGCGATCCTCGCGTGTGCCGTACAGGGAAGGCTCGAGCTAGGGGTCTCGATCCGCGAGAGCACGGAGGATTTGGACCTTGGCGTGGAGAACTCGGTGCTAAATCTCTTTGCGAGGTGCGGCGGGATGGAGAGGGCCTGGTATTTCTTCCGGGGAATGCGCGAGAGAGATGCGGTGTCGTGGAACACGATGCTGTGGGCGTGTGCGCATCGCGGGCTGGATCGCCAGGCGCTGGGATTGTTCCGGGAGATGGATCTCGAGGGCGTGGAGGCGAATCTCTTCGCCTTGCGATGGATAGTCCGGGCGTGCTCCACGAGCCTCGCAGAGGAATGCCAGGGTGTTTACGAGTGGGAATTGGATCAAGCAGTAGCAAATTCTCCCCTCGAACAGTGAACGCTTCTTTCATTCTTCCTAGGAAGAACTCTGTTTACTGTAGTGAAAGCAAGCTTTTTACTGTAATAAAAGCATTAACAATGTGCCGGGTCCTAAAGTTGACCAAAACTTCGTCGACCTTTGACTAGGCACGAATGTTGAGCAAAACTTCGTTGACTCACGTGCTGGACCTTTGAATATCATTGACTCGCGTGGTCCATTTTATATGGTGAGGACCTTTGGCTCGCGTGCTCCATGTTATATGGTGAGGACATTTGGAGCTAACGAAAGATCTCTTTAACTCTTTGCGTGCTTTTCTGCGCAGATCTCAGTGGCAAGCAATGCGTGACATACCAAGTTTCTGTCACGGACAGAACCCCACTCTCTACTTCGAGCGATTGATCCACTCTTTCCATTCTCGATGAAGTAAGGAGTGGGGTTCCTCCGCGACAGGCACTTGGTGTAAGTTTCGCGAAGCTGGAAGAGAGAGATCTCGAATAAGTCTACAGAACAGGAGAGCAAGAAAGCTCACTTCTAACTTGCTCTGGGATGGTAAGACGAGCGTCTCGATTGCATTCTTGACATCTCTCTGTGGAGGCTCCGTTCTCGCTCTCGAGCCTTCTTCCTGATCTCTTTCTTCCGGCTGATGATTTCGGCGTATAGCCTTTCCCGATACTCGTGGATCGTGAATCTGTTTGAAAGCAAAAGGGGATAAGTCAGAGCGACAGAAAAAGCCCAGCTCTTACTTATGATTGTCGTCAATGGGAATCCTGATCAATCGATTGCACGATGGCTCCTCACGAGGGTTGTGAAATTGAGCTACGTATGGATGTTGCAATGCTTGCTGCAGCACACACACACACACAAGTCAGGAAGATTATAGCAAAAGAAGTTGCAAAGTTACCTCCGCTGTAAGCCTCTTCTGAGGATTAAAGTGTAGCAATTTGCGTAGTAAGTCCGCAGCTTCAGGCGTGGCGCTGGGGAAAGCTTTTCTAAATGATCTGCTCAGAGTGAAACACTCAATCAATCTTAAAACTCTTATTCTTTCCCACCTGGGGCCAGTTATAGCCATGTTCTCAATCATAGCTGCAGCAAATGGCGATTCGAAAGCTGCTATGTCCTCCTTCACTTTGTCTCCAATCAGAACAGTGTCAGTCCGGCTGAAAAAATCAGCGCGTCACATACCGATGCCGGTTTTCCTATTAGATCCAGAACTTTTTCAATCTGGTTCATAGTCGATGCCCCTGTACGTGCAGAGATTCAGAGATTTTAACCGTGTTTATCACAGACTCACCTGGAAAAACAGGCTTCCCGTTCAACAACTCGCCAAGAATGCAGCCACTCGACCACATGTCCACTCCAAAGGTGTAGCTGTTAAGCGAGATTGTTAATTCACAAACGGTTACCATAAAAGTCTCACCTGCTTACTTTGTGGAACCAAGAAGAATCTCGGGTGCTCTATACCTGTTTGATAAACCACATTTTGTAAAATCCATGATGTGAAGATGCTTCTAATTGGAGTACCATCGAGTAGCAACATAGTCTGTTAGCACTTGCGCTTGTCCCATGTCATCTTTCAATTGGGCAACCTTCACTCAAAAAAGAAAAGGCTCATACAAGAATTGTAAAGCGTTCTCATACCGATCGTGCCAAACCAAAATCTGCAAGCTTGCATCGGCAATCCGAATCCAAAAGTAGATTGCTTGGCTGAAAGTTCAAAGCATTAATACTTTCACCAGTTCTTTACAATGGCTGAACAAAGTCACCTTGATATCTCGATGCAGCAGTCCTGCGCTGTGCAAATACTTCAAAGATTTAAAGAGTTGATACATGATGTACTGCAAACACCTCGGATTTAGCCAAACATAAAAGCCGGAAGAACTTACTTGTTTATGTACATCCTCGAGAATATTGGCTCTTATAACAGCATGCAAATCCGTTTCTGCGCAGAGAAAAATTGCGGAATGGATCGATAAGCTTACAGTTTTTCCTGCAAACTTACCCATGTACTCAAACACTAGGTACAAGTCACGGTCATTTTCCGCTTTGAGAACGTTTGTCAACCTGCGAGTTCATTAATGTAACTGCCAGCAGTCTTAAGAGGTGCGGAAACTAACTTGATGACGTTCTCATGATCGTTGATCTCCTGAAGAAACATCACCTCGCGAAAGGTCCTCTACGTTGGAACCAGCAAGTCAGCAAGATGGAACTTTTGACAAAGAACCACAAACCTGAGCATCAGTCGAGTTTTGAAACGCGTCAAATATCTTTTTGAGAGCAACAACATCGTTGGTCTTCCTATCAAACGCTTTCCAAACGATTCCATAAGCCTGCAAACAGTAAAACAAAGCAGTTATAACACCAACAAATAAAAAACTCTTTTTGAGCCGTCAACTTACACCCTTGCCGAGCTTTTGGCAAACGTGGTACTTCCGCAAGACGTGCTTGTCGACGTCCTCGCTCATCGTGGTCCACTTTGCATTTCCTGCGAACCCTAGGGTGCGAAACCATCTCGGAGCAAAGCCATCGACGCCGTCCAAGCTTGCAAGATCTTGTTCGTTCAATTAAATTCCGAGGTTCAAAACACTGCTCTACCAACGAAAGTTCGTTAAACCAGTCTCTCGGGTGTATGTACATTGCCTCGAGTCTAATATCTGCACCGAAACGAAACGAAAGTTAGCATCGAGAAATGAAAGAATGTCGCAAAAACCTGGAAATAAGCGGAAGAACTTGCTTCTCCCACTCGTCATCCCATCTCGCACACGAACCCGATGCCAAGGCTCCGTCTCTCAAGTGCTTCAAGCGTTCGCAGTTGTCTGGAAAACCTTGAAATAGATCCTGCGGCATAAGAAGTGTCACTCCTTCATGGCAGACAGACAAACATTCGTACCATAAACTGGTCTGCAAGTTCTGAAGCAGACGAAAAAAGCAGCCCATTCTGGTGATCTTTGACCAGCTCGTCAATACTGCACAGGAAAATAATCGCTGAAGAAACAAACCAAAAGCTGCGAGCTAATTACCATGAATAAGAAACGGCCGTCACAGGTAATCCGCATCCAAACATGTCCACAACCTGCATTGGAATGTAGATAGTCAGAAAAATAAAAAGTTTTCCTCACACCTTCATAGGCAAATCAAGACCGGACGAGGAAGTATGCAAGCTAACGCCGAGATCAGCCGATCCTTAAAAAGAAAGAAAAACCAGCACGTCAGGTGAAACCTAAAGCTAGAACCCATTTTACCAAGCAAACGAGGATAATCCTCAGCAGCGAGCCACATCGTTCGAAATGCAACATGATGTAAACGTAGCCTGCTTATCCTTTCTTCGTACTCTTGTCGCAGGGGACCTTTGCCTTGAATAAGAAACAGAAAAAAAGAATTACCGGCTGAACTAGAGAGAAAAGGCGAAATATCATACCAGTAACAACGATGAGAAGACGAGGGAAAACGCATCTAGAATTCTTCATGGGTCGCCTATCACCCGAAGCACTGTCTATGTGCTCTCCCAGCGATGCCGCCACACGCCGGTCATACATAACAGCAGCCTCCAACAGTATCTCAAAGTCCTCATCTGGAGTCCTGCGATTTGTTGCAACGGTCAGAACACGAGATACAAGTTTGGAGGCACGCTTACCAGCTAGTACTGCTCACAATAAGCGCTGGCCTTTCTTTCAGATAGAAGTACTGGTCGCCCTCCTGGATTTCTTTTCTCGGGTCCTCCACTGCGGACTTCCGACAAGTGAAGAGGGTCCAGGAGGAGCTAGCAACATTAGTCGAATCGCTTCGACCAGCAACATACTGCCTGGATGCTAACCGAACGTTCTCATCTTCCTCCGGTCTTACAGAACAACAATCCCATTCACCCAGTGGCTGCCTAAACAAGCCATCCAGCCTTAAAAACAGCTGTAAGAAAATGCATCAGTTTCCGCTAGCAATTTAAAAAACAGCTCAACTTTAGCTTACCTCGTGCTTTTCCTCCAAGGTAGCGGGTTGGAAAAACTCGGGTGATCTATCGTAGACAACGGTTGCCCTGCAGAACATGAAAAGAGTTAAGCCAGTGTTTTGCGAGAAACGTTGAATGCCTGACCTGATCCCCCAGTTCTCTGCAAGCTCGTGTTGCATCGCTTTCGTGACGCATAGATGGCCGTCGGCCATTTTACCATAACGCTTTTCAAACCTGCAGCGATAATAAGCGTCCGAGAATACGACTTTACAAGTAAGTAGTACCAGAAGTAGAGTTTGACGAGAATATGGCTTGGATTCAATCTAAGACCGAATAAAGTATAGCCAAAGTTGTGCCAGTCGATTACGAACGAGGACTTTCTTATAACACACGTCCACTTTACCACTGCCAGGACTGGCACTGAGGGTGGATTCTAGAAAGTCACAAATAAGAACAAAGTGATACTAGAAAAAACCATGGTTTAGCTTACTTGGACAAGAACAACGTCCGAGGATGGCACTTTAACAAGGAGAAGCCACAAGAGGTGTAATAGCTGAAGAAGGATTTTAAAAGGTAGTGCCAGTAGATAGAACAGTCGCGGAAGTCTTTGAAAGCTTGGCACGCTCTACAAAAAGGACGAGAGTTACGAGAAAAGAGAGAGCAAAAAAGCGAGCTTACCATGAGATAAAGAGAAATCTTGGGATCTTCTAGCACAGCTCGGTGTGGTTGAGCTCCTATCATAGTAATAAGATCGAAAAGAACAAAGAAAAGCTCTAGATTTACCTGCGAAAGCAATGACATCCACGTCCATGCCAGCCTAGGCGAGAGAAATCGAGAGATTTTGGAGCAAGAGATGTTTGAGCTGGAAGATTTACCTGGCTCGACAAAGACAAGGCGTGGTACTGCATTCTGGGGCTCCTTCCAAAATCGCCAAGCACGACAACGGTCGCCCTTCCTCTCCTCCCCATCGCTAAAGCCCTAATTAGGGTTCTTGGGAGGGATGAAAAATGCTGCAAGCATCAGCTCAATCCGGGCACCGCAATGCACCAATTCTCCGGCGAGATTACCTCGATCCGGTCGAGATGCTAGCGCAATCCATCCGGCGGTGCGGGAACACGCGCAATCTGGCGGAGGCGCGGGCGATCCACGAGCAAATCCAGCGATCGCCGGAGCGCCATAGCCGATACCTGGCCAATCTGCTGGTGGAGATGTATGGCAAGCTCGGCAGCGTCGCGGAGGCGCGCATTGTCTTCGATCGCATCGTTGATCCCAACATCTACTCGTGGAGCATCCTCCTCAACGCCTACGCCCTAAACGGCGAGCTCCATGGCGCCAAGCGAATATTCGACGCGATGCCCGCGAAGAACGATGTGGCCTGGAACTCGATGCTCGCGGCATATGCCCAGGGTGGGCATCTTCAGGAGGCGGTGGAAATCTTCAAGGAATCTCCCAAGGACAGCGATATCTCTTGGAATATCCTTATAAATTGCTACATTATCTACGATAGAGTTGAGGATGCAAAGCGTCTTTTTGATCGAATGCCGAGAAAGACCGTAATTTCAACCACGGCTATGATCTCAGCATATGCCAAAAGAGGGTATCTTGACCAGGCAAAGGATCTTTTCGATCAAATGCCCGAGAAGGATGTAATATCCTGTAATGCCATGATAACAGCGTGTGCACAGCATGGAAACCTTGACGCGGCAAATAATCTTTTCCATATAATGGAAGATCGAGATGTTTCTACTTGGAATGCCTTGATAACAGCATATGCCGAAAAAGGGTATCTTGGCGACGCTAGAATGCTTTTTAACACTATGCCCTTGAGGAATATTCTTTCCTGGAATATTATAATGTCGGCCTATGCCCAAGCTGGACATGCATTTGAAACGAAAATGATATTCCTGGAAATTCCAGAAAGAAATCTCATGTCTTGGAATATCCAGCTTTTTGCATATGCCGAAGCCGGGCATATTGAAGAGTGCCAAAGAACTTTCGACATTATGCCGCAAAGGTCACTAGTTTCCTACACTACGATGATCACCGCATTGTCTCAAGTTGGAAGTTTGAGGAAAGCCACTGAGCTTTTCGACGGAACTCCAGAATGTGATCTCGTGATCTGGAACTTGATGATCTCCGTGCTCGCCAGGGATGGACGCCTCCAGATCGCTCGAGAGATGTTTGAGTCGAGTCCACGGAGAGATCTCTCGAGCTGGAACGTGATGACCATCGCCCTCGCTCGAAACTCCAAGCTAGAAGAAGCTAAAAAATGTTTCGATGAGATGCCTGAGCGAGACACCGTTTCCTGGAACGCTCTAGCAGCAGCTTATGGAGAAGCTGGCCATCTCCGCGAAGCTCAAGAGCTCCACAGCTTAACCCCCGCGAAAGACATCGTCTCCTGGAACACACTTCTTGGAGCTTATGCTCAAAACGGCCACATCGATCAAACCAAGAGAGTTTTTGACGATCTTCCGCAGCGAGACACCGCCTCCTGGAACACAATGCTTGCTGCTTACGCTAAGAACGCGAAGATCGAGACCACGCTCAAACTCTTTGATGAAATGCCTCTACAAAACATCGTCTCCTGGACTGCCGTGATCACGGCCTTTGCGTTTGGAGGAAACAAAGCCACAGTGTTAAAGTCACTCGAGTTTTTGAGAGTGATGGAGTGCGAAGGATTTAAACCCGGTCACATAGCGTTCCTTGTGATCTTAACCGGTTTGAGCCACCTAGGAATGATCGAAGACAGCCATCATTGTTTTAGTTTGATGGTGCTTGACCATGGCTTGTCCCCCGGCAAGGAACACTACTCCTGTATAGTTGACTGCCTCTCGAGGGCCGGCCAGCTCCAAAGAGCCAATGAGCTTCTCGAGAGCATGCCCATGTCGCCCGACAACGTTGCCTGGTCGGGTTTCCTCGCGGCCTCCAAAGTTCACGGAGAGAGATCTCGCGGAGCTCGAGCTGCCGAGAGCTTACACTCACTCGACTCGCAAGATACTTCCTCGTACATTCTCCTGTCCAACATCGTAGCAGTGGACTAGACACGATTCGTCCGTCCAGTGATGAAAAACTTAGCAAAGTTTGAGCGAGAACTTCCGGATCAAGGAGTGACGAGATTTGAGAGCATCACAAACGGGGCAGCGTCTTTTTTATCGGGGCTCGTCTTGACGACTTCCACTGCGGAATGATTCGAGCTTTTCTGGATCTTGCAAGCGTTCAGAAAAGTGGACCACGAAACACGATTTGGAACGAAAGGCATCGTCTTGATGAGCTCCTCGGCCTTTGCGAGCTGACCGCATCGACCGAGAATATCAACGAGACACACAAAGTGCTCGATCCCTGGAGCTAAGTTATACTCGCATCTCATCCTCTTGAAGTGCTTTCTACATTCTTCCAAGAGTCCCAAGTGACCACAGCCCGAGAGAATGCAAAGAAACGTGATCTCGTCGGGACCGAGGCCCTCCACAGCCATATCAAAAAGAAGATCTAGACCACTTTGCAGCTCGCCACCTAAAATGTAGGATGTGAGCATTGCATTCCACGACATTACCTCTCCTTGAGAAGTTCTTGAGAACAAATTCTTTGCTTGTATAATATGCCCGTGCTGTGCATACGCAACTATCAAAGTTGGCACTGTCACGTAGTCTTGGTTTGGCATCTTTTCAAACATAGCTCTAGCGTCTCCAAGATGCCCATTCCAGGCATATGCTGCTACCAAGGTGGTCCAAGAGATCGAATCTCTTTGAGGCATGTGGTCAAACATAAGTTTCGCCTCCTCAAGATGCCCGTTATGGGCATACCCCGCTAGCATAGCGTTCCATGCCACAATGTCGCGACGAGGCATTTCCCTAAACAATTTAAAAGCTTCCTCTACTTTCTTGTGCTGGGAAAAAGCAGTGATTAGGATAGTAAAAGCCGTGACATCACGACAAGGACTTAGTTCAAGAAGTTTTTGTGCTTCGGCAATATTCCCAACTTCGGCATATGCTAGTATCATAAGATTCCAGGACGCAGAATCTTTTCGAGGCATGGTATCAAAAAGTTCTTTTGTTTGATCCAAATTACCTAGCCGATAATACGCCGCGAGCATCGCATTCCAGGCAACGATATCTTTATGGGGCATCGTTTCGAACAGATTCGTTGATTGCTCAAGATCCCCGTTTTCGGCATATGCGGTCAACATGCTGGTCCACGCCACCACGTCCTTGACCGGCATCCGGTCAAAGAGATCTCTCGCCTCGCCAAGATGCCGCTGCTGAGCATATGCTGTTATCATTGCCGTCCACGTCACCACGTTGGGATCTGGCATCTTCTCAAAAATCCTTCTCGCTTCCTGGAGATTCTCATGTTTGGCGTAAGCGGTGATGATAGAGTTCCAAGCCACGCTGTTGGGTTGTGGAATCCCCTCGAAGATCTTCCGCGCTTTCTCCAGATGCCCGTTCTCGGCAAATGCCGCGAGAGCGATGTTCCAGGTGTAGCAATTGGGCTCGTGAATTTGATCCAGGACAATCCGGGCGTCCTCGATGCTGTGGCACTTGCCATACATTTCAATTAGGAGGTTTTTCAGGAAGCGATTGTTGCGATGCGCGCTGTGGATCACCAGCGAGTGGATCCGCCGTGCCTCGAGCAGATCCCTGGAGATAGCGCACGATTTGATAAGCTTGGCATAGTGTGCCGGGGCAAACTTCTCGTCCGGGCTCTCGATTCCACCGAGATTTGGGGCGCGCGCTACGACCATGGAGAAGAAGAAGACCACGTCAGCATCCCTGCCGAGTCATCGCCGCGTCGTGGGCCAGGTCATGTCCGCGTCAGCAATCCTGCCGAGTCATTGCCGCGTCTTGTGCCAGGTCAGAGTCCGCGTGGGAGTCCTTTTTCTTTGACATTTTTCTCCTTCACAGATTTAGGTTTTGGGTGTTTGGGGGAAGTCGCGGAGCCAATTTGGCAAGAGAATGGTGAGCTCTTCCTCTTTCTCTCTCTTTTCTTCGACTAAATCTTGGATTCCTGGGCTTTGCAGACGACATCCAAGCGACTGGCCGACAAGAAGATCCAGAAATTCCAGAAGAACATCTTCAAGCGGGGCGCGGTGCCCGAATCGAGCATCAAAAAGGGCAACGCGTACCCAGTTGGCCCAATTGTTCTAGGGTTCTTCATTTTCGTGGTCATCGGCTCAGGTAATCCATCGAGTGCTTGTCGATCGATCGATTTTGCGGTTCTAGAGTGTAGATCCTGACTCCGATTTGTATGCTCTGCGCAGCGTTGCTACAGATCATTCGGACAGCGTCCGGTGGCGGCCCATAGATCCAACGATGATCACTAGAGCCCGTTTAGGAAGAAAGTTGAATAAGTACTAAGGACTACCAGAATATGCTGTAGAACCTATTTAATGGACGGAAAATACTTTAGCATAAACCACGTCTTATAAACGTCCATGAGTGCTGCGTGAACCGTACTGGTTCTCATCCATCAGGGCAAGCAGCAACGCAGATTGAGCTTCAACAGCTCTAGCAAATTGGTACTTTGATCAATAGCAGGAACACTCTACTACCACTCACTTGCCAAATCTACAGGCACTACTAAGGGTAACAAGCCTTAGTAGATATATTGTTCCAAGCCTCTAACTAACAAGTGTTGCTTTGAATTGCAAATTGGGAAATAACTATAAGTGAACACAAATATAATATGCTTGAAAATTATAGTTATGCAAATTGCAATATTAGAAAATATCTTGAGAACATTTTTATTTAAAATTCTTTATGTTTCTTTGAAGACAAATTAAATTGGGTAATGCCACATTGCATGAGTAAGAATTAAAAAACATAATAATGTTAGTATAAAAACACTATTATGAAATGTAAAATTTGTAAAAACAATTAAAATATAAAATAGTTCATGTCAATAGTGTGTGTGGCTTTTGAATGAATAACCTTAAAATCAATAGCATAATCAAGCATGAATAATTGTCAATAAGGTATATTATTATGTTAAGTAAAGAGAATGAAGGTTCTTGTTCAAGCTAAAAATACTTCAAAAATAATTTATTCAATTTTTAATAATTAGCATGAATGAACTTTAAAACTAAATATAAATTTAATCATATATTTTGCTAACTCATGAAGCTTTATTTAGTGGCTATTTCCTTAATAGTCATACGGCATTTATTTAATGGTAAATACTCTTAATAGCTGTGAATTTTACAAGGATTATTTAATACAATATAACTTAAAATTAAAAATTATTTATTTTGAAATAATATTTATTTAGAATATATAGTTCAGACTTAACTAATGTTACAGTGAACTATAAGAATTTAAAACTGTGTGAAATGGTGTTAAATTTTAATAATAAAAATAAAAAATACTAGCTAAACTTATATTCCTAAACTAGCCATTTATACATGCATTATATTAGCTCCCAACTCTACTTTACAACTATTGGCTTGTTAACAATATAGCAAACCCCCCCATGAGTGATCCTCCAGCTAAGAAATATAGTTTATAGACAACACAACACACTCACCCCCCAAGCCTATACACAATATGGTAATGCCTAACTAATCATCCTAAACCCTGTAGAATAAAATAATTATGAGTGGAAAAACAACCTAGCTTACATTTACCATAACTTAATGGTCATAAATAATTGGTTAGTTTTGTAAAGCATCTTGACCATTTCATGTCAAACTTAGTTTTGTGCCCCATGCTAAGCAAATGATACAACATGTTTTCAAACTTAACTACAATTTAGAGAAACATATGATGCCATAGCTTTCAACCAACAACTCCATAATTTCAATTCATAGCCACATCCCCATTGCAACCTTTCATAATGACCACTAACGACTCTCTACTCACAGCTCCAACCAACCATATGACACTACTAAATTCAAACTTTTATGACACCACCACACTATTGCCATAACACCTTATCACAACTTACATTTTGATCAATCACCCATAGAGTGATTAAGAGTGGCAATTATGCCAAATGACTATAGCAAAATTTCATGCCACTACCATTATTGCTACTCCAACTCTTCATATGACTGTTATCAACTAAGACACCATCACCCTTCACAACATTGTATGAAGTAGGGGTTGTTGAGACAAAATATATAGGCAAACATATATATTTATTAATCAAAGGGATACAATACTTACATACTTCTTACCTTCATAAATTACACTAGTGAATATGCTATAACTTAACTTAACCTCAACCCTTAAACCTAAGTTTGATTTATAAACATTCAAATTGAGCCACTAGCAAGGATGTCTTTGTCAATAAATTTACTATCAAGTTGGTTGTGGATATGTGAGCAACTGAATTTCTCTCATTTAAATCCTTTCACATATAAAATAGCAAAATATTTTGAAGTGTATGTTGATGAATAGGGTTGAGGATTGCATTCCATGTGTTCTATGAATATCAAAATTTTTGTCTAAGTAAAATCTTCACATTCACAATGATTCCTTAACTATTTTAGTCACAATACTATACTCAATTTAATAGATGGAAAGTGCAACTTTTCTTTATTTTTAACTACACCAAAAAACAATAATGTTAAAAAATTTGAAATTGTACTTTATTATTGATCTTTGATTGTTAAAGTCCCTTACTAAATCCACATTCACCATCTTATATCATTTTTGAGAATCCATACTAATATCTTCAATCTTTGTGCATTGAAACTCCAAGTTGAGAGTGGATATTTGTTCTGTTGTAATATCTAAACAACTTACTGTTACTAAAGATATCATCACTCCTATAATATTTTGATATGAAAGAATTTGCATCTACCTTTTCTCCACTTCAGTACAAGATTCATCATCTTGAGAGATTTTATGAACTTGCAATGATGGAATATGAGTATATGATTGAGTGAAAAATTGCTAATATTCACTTAAAAACTTTTTAATATACTGGATTGAAAGTGTTCATGCCTTTTTGTTACAAGAATCTAAGCAAAACTTACCAAGATCTTTCATTTTCAACCATTTCACAAGTTATTCCTTAAACTAATATAGAGAGAGTGTTTTTTCTATCATAATTAAATCATCAATGTATACTCTAACCAAAATGTTTTTGTGACAAATATAAATGTTCCAATGTGCACAAACCCAACATTGGAAAAAATCTATTTAAAGTAGTATACTAAATTTACAAGGATTGTTTAAAACTATAGATGGATTATTTTAAATTAAACATATAAGTCTCTTTGCCTTCCACTTCAAAAGTATGAGGTTATTAAATGTATATTAATTGCTCAAATTCTCCATTTAAAAAATCATTCTTTTCTACTCTACAACTAAATAGTAATTGCAAGAACCAAATGTATGAAAACCATCTTAGTGCAAGATGAGTTGGAATTCTCTAGAGATTAATTTTCGTACTCTGTCCACTCAAAAAGTATGTAAGGTGCAAGCAAACTTGTGCTCCACATAATTAATCTAATTATGAAACTTATTGATCTTTTAGTTTATGAAAATCATTTTTAAGAAACAATAAAAATCATTAGTAATTAGAAAATGATAAAAATTTTCATTCAAGATTTACTTAGTGAAGCTCAATCTAGAATTAAAGTACCTTGAGTCTTGGCATTTTAGGAGAGGGATTTCTTCTTCATTTTACCCCATATACATGCTTCATAATTGTCCATTGTCACTCTATTGAGGGAGGGAACTTTATATATTAAAGAATTGACTTCCTTAACTTAATACCATCTAGCATGTGTAAAGCAAGCATGCCATAGATGAAAAATAGAAGCATCAGTGATATTTGTTATATTTACTAATACTTAAAGTTGTGAAGAGAGATAGTAAAGTCCTTTTTAGCAATTGTAAATCTTAGGAACTTGAAATCAACACTATTGCAGTGAAAACAAGAATAAACACTTTGACTTATAAGTTGAGAAACTAATAGCAAATTTTAAATTAAGCTAGGTATAAACAAAACACCTCTATAGACAAATTCATAAACAATAATATGTAAAGACTCACCATTAGCCATGCTTACATCTACTGAAAAATTTCTATATATTATTTTTTGTAAGAAAGCCTTATTTGCTATCATATAATACATTAAATCCAAAAGTTGCCCTTCTAACGCATTTTTAAACCAATACTAAATTTAGGCACAAAACACACATGGCCTTTTTTCTTACCTGCTTAATTGAGTGTACCACCTTTGATGGCTTGAAAGACCCTTTTTCTAATAATTGAGCTGCAATCATTGCTACAAACTTTTCTAAAGAGTTCTCTTTTGTGAATTCTCCAAATTACCCTCATAAATGTCAATGAAATTTATATAGTGCTGGATTTGTAATCCTAAATGTTGTTGTCTTGATTAAAGCTCTAAAATAAAAAATGCCCTTATAATATTTGCAAAGTTAGACTTTATACTATGTAATTTGTCCTCTAAGAGTGGTCATTTTCTTAATATACTTTGAAGCTTTCTTCATTACTTTTTATAATTTATCATTTGTCAAAATGTGTTTATTTTTAATGCTAATAACTAGTCACAATAAATTTAATGAAACACTTGTTATGCCTCAGCTGAAGTGGTGGCATTTTTTACTTTTAAAATATTCATATTTGACTCATTTAATCAAGATTATTCTTGTGGTGTTGTCAACATCTTTGAAATCCTCTACACTTTTCATATCTTATTGTTTGCTTTAAGGACCACTTCTTAAACTTTGCTTTATTTCCATTTTAATAGTGGCCACTCCTTTCCAATGGCTAACTTAAAACTTTTCTTCCTTTCAACAACAATTAAAAAATATTTAAAATCATTTTTATGGGATAAAAGAAGTTTTAATCCCTCAAATCCACTAGATTTTCCCATTATTTACAAATTAGTATCCCTTGTTCTAATAGCCCCTTGGCAACCTCCTCACCACTTACAACACTGGCTTAAAAAAATATTCTTTCTAATTTTACTTTTTTAATACCAAGAATATACAGCTGACACACATATGTATTAATCAAAGGGATATAATCCTTATGTACTCCCTTTATAAGTCATGGTGATGACTATGTTCCAATAGGGGCATTGATCAAGAGTAGGAAGTATTATAATTATAATCTTCTTCAAAATGACACTTTTAAATCTCTTGATCTCACGTTCATAGTGGGCACTGTGTGACCATGTATCTAATATATAAATGAAAGAATATTTTGCATGGCTTTATATGCAAAAACAATTCTTGGAATATTTTCTTTAGACTTTAGAAAATGAAAACTCAAACCATACTAAATCCTAGAAGATGGTGTCATGCTTGATGTTGTGGCTGGACACACTGGAGAAAAAGAAATAACACCCTCAAATGGACAAGAATTGGAAACCCCATACAAAAATATTTATGTTATACTTTGGTCAACTGTGTAGTTAGTGATGCTACTAAGTTTACTTCTAGACAGAGGCACACTAGTTTTGAATGCCATGTATGAAGCAATGGAAGAGCCCATCTTCTAGCACAACCTGGTGAACTACTCAACACGAGGCCCTTCTAAAGCATATTCTGGTGAGTATGCTTAAGTATATTCGTTTTGCATATGCTCAGTTTTGATTTCTTATTGGCTAGGGTTCTTAGGAAGAACGCGCTTTCAATCCGGAGCCAGGGATCCAAATTCATGGGCAACAGTAGCAGCAGAAGAAGACGACGCCACCACCACCACCAGCAGCATCCGCCAGGTCCGATCTATCCCCCGCTCCCTCCTCCTCCGCCCGGCTATCACACCGAGGTCGCTCCTTGCCCCCATATGGTCTCACCATACTACTATCGTCCTCCTCGCCCCGGGAGCTATTTCTTCCAGCAGCAGCAAGGATATTACGGGCCTCCAGCGCCACCGCCTCCTCCGCCAAGGCTTCCCGCTCCTCCTCCCCAGCTCTTCCTGCCAGCGCCGCGGACTCCCCTGCCTTGGAATGGATCTACTGCCATTGTTCCAAGCTCGTCAGCTCCAGCTCCAGCTCCAGTGCCCGTTCCAGAGTACCAGACCGCCAACACGGTCAGGAACGAGGTAAATCTCAACAAAGGAACGCTGCGGCTCGAGAGAGACGAGGCCATGCCTGGCAATCATGTCGTAGCATTCTCGTTCGATGCCACCACTTCTGGAAGGTATGCAAACATCAATTTTTTCCCTTCTTGCATAGCTAGAACTTGCCTGGGAGTTCTTATCTTGCCTGGATTCATGGTTTGGTTGCCTGGGCTCATGGATTCATGCGAGTTCTTATCTTGGCTCTACTGATTAGATTAGATTTCTTGGTCGGTGGCCTGTATTCGTTTTCTAGAGTTTCGCAAGACAACTCCTCCGTTTTTCTAACGTTTTTTTTTTTTTGTTACAGTATCACTGTGTTCTTCCTGTCAAAGGAAACTTCCAATGGTAGCGTGGTATCTCTCAGTAAGATGTTTCCAGCGCCTACCAGGCACCACTTCAAGAGTGGACTGGGCCAGAAGTTTAAGCAGGAATCTGGCCTCGACTTTTCTCTCATCGACGAGCAAGATCTCTCGCAGCTCGGCACGGACAACGTCTACCCTCTCATCATCCGGATCGAGACGACTCCAAAGAATCCACCACCCGACGCTGCCGAATCCCCCGAGCCCGTGGGTGGAGCACTCAAGAAGTGGATCCACTGTCAACAGACGTATGCCGTGATACGAAAGATTGAAAGAGACGGGGACGAGGGTGAGCTCCAAGTTCGAGTTGTTAAGCAGATCATCTGGGTGGATGGCGTTCGCTACGAGCTCCAGGAGATTTTCGGGATTGGTGGCAGTGAAGCGAGCAACAACAGCAGCGATTCTTCTGGGAAAGAATGCGTGATTTGCTTGTCCGAGCCCAAGGACACGACTGTCTTGCCGTGCAGGCATATGGTAAGTTCTTCGATTGGTTTGTTCTACTTTGGTTCTAACTTTGATTCGTTTTTTTTTTTTTTTTTCTCAGTGTATGTGTAGCGATTGTGCCAATGTGTTGAGACACCAAACAAATTTATGCCCGATTTGCAGATGCCCGGTTGAAGAACTTCTACACATCAAAGTTTGAGAAAGAGAGGTTTTGTCTTTCGTGTATGTAATGTAAATAAAGAGCTTGACAATTGGTTTTCGACACGTGGCGTTGTAGAGTTTTAGGGTTTAAGCGAGGCGGGATTTCTTCTCCCTCGAGGCGCTTGATTCCACGGCGATGCAGTTCTTGGCGGATTTTGCCGTGGATTTCGATCAATGTCGGAATCTCCGGTGAGAAATTTCGCGAAATCTTTGCTTCGATTGACCAAATTTCGTTTCTCAGGCTCGGCGGCGAGGATTTGGTATCAAGGATGCGGCTTGGTTGGAGGGATTTGTCCTTCGGCTACTGGAAAGATCATACACAGTAAGTTGTTTCCTTGGATGATCGTCGAGAGAATTTTAGAATGGACTTTTTCAAACTTGTTTTTAGTTGAGTCGACACGTAGCGTGCTAGTAATACTTAATACTTAGCCCCTTTCTCTCACATTTTGTTCTTGGTGATGCTTAGCGCTTCGCATGACGACTTCCACCGCCAGTGATAAGCTTTCTTTCGATGGGATTGTTGGGTTTTTTGTGGAGGCTGGTGTGGTCCAGCTTCGTCTTCAGGTAGCCGGGAGTTTTGGTATTTTTTTCTACGATATGAATTGTGTGCTGCGTTGCTAGGTGTGGAAGACAAAGCTCGCTGCATTGGGAGGAAAGATAGAAGATCACGTAACAAAACAGCTGACTCATGTCTTTGCTGTTTCTTCGCAGCACTTGGACCAGAGCAAAGATTGGAAGAGATTGAAACGGCTGAAACGGCTTAAAGTGGTGAGTTCCTTATTTCTTGCTGGATATGTTTCTTACATTCTCTTTTTCAGTCATTTTTGAAATACGACTGGCTGGAAGACTGTCTCAAGGCAGGGCAAAGGTTACCTGCAGAGTCTTACAATTTGTTTCAGGATTATCATGGTGCCTCAGCTGAAGAATCCGCTGGCACTGGAACTGATTGCACCGCGACTGACGAGAGTGCTACTGAATCCTTAAACTCAGACACTGATGCTGCCATCAGTGATACTAAACGTGAAGAATGGAGGTCTGCACTCGTATTCCCAAAGGAACCTGATGATTCCACGGGGCAAAATGAGGTAAGCGGCTCTTTTTATTGGTCTCGTGTTTGATATCTAGATTGTGTAACAGATTTATGCTCCTCCAAACCTCAACCAAAATATTACAGGCCCTTTTGGAGAACTCCGGGACATATACAAAAACGGTGAGCATTTCTGTTGGCAAGAGTACATCAAAACGTTCATGAACTTTTTTCAGGTCTTGGAGACAACAGAAGATCTTATAGCTATCACAAGGCGATATCCTATCTGGAAAAGCTACCATATCAAGTTACGAGTGTAGATCAAGTGAAGAATGCTCCATCAATCGGAAAGTCGCTACAGAATCACGTACGTATTTACTTCTTTTTCGTGTTTCATGTTGTCGGTTCACAGATCCAGGAAATTCTATCCACTGGGAAACTTTCAAAACTGGAGCATTTTAGAGACGATGAAAAGGTGCGTTTGTAAAAGCTGTAATTCTGAAGACTTGACATCCTGAGATTTACAGGTGAAAACTGTTTCTCTTTTCGGTTCAGTGTGGGGGATTGGGCCATCGAACGCTTTGAAATATTACGAGAAAGGTCATCGTTCCCTGGAGGACTTAAGGCATGACGAGTCACTTACACGTACCCAACGGCTTGGGCTGCAATATTTCGAGGATATCAACGCAAAAATTCCACGCAGCGAGGTATCCAATTTAGAGATTTGTTCTCCCGAGTGACATTTCGTTCTAGGCGAACTACGTGGAAAATCTGGTGCAAGAAATTGCTAGTGCTATTCAACCCGGGGTATATGTTTTTTCACTCGGCTTATCCTTGCGTTGTAGATATCCGTTGTTTGTGGAGGTTCTTATAGACGTGGGAAGTCGCTGGTAGGGGATATGGACATGATTGTCACTCACTCGGATGGCACAAGGTCTGCTTACGTTGTTATGAGTTTTGACTGAAAGTTTTCTGCAGTCACAAGGGATTTCTGAGGCGCTTAGTCCAACGACTGAAAGACATTGATTTTCTCACCGAAGACTTGCTGATTGGTTACCACGAGGTAGAAATAACACTTCCCTGTGCTAATGAGATGAACAACATTGCAGGAACTGAACGATGACGCTGTGGATACTTACTTTGGGTTATGCAAGTATCCGGGAAGAGAGCAGCGGCATCGTATTGATTTTAAGGTTTGTGTTTCAAACGATCTTTTGATTATCACAGATTCTACTCAGGTGTACTCTTGGGAGCAATATCCATTTGGTCTCATTGCTTGGACTGGCAACGATGTTCTAAACAGAAGGTACATACGTAGCGTTAACGATGAGAAATAGCATTGCGACTTTTGTTGTTTCACAGGCTGCGAATTCTAGCAAATGAAAAAGGATACAAACTAGATGATACTGGCTTGTATAGAACAATTTTGTATGAGAAGCACAAGCGTCACAAGGTTAGTAAACTGTTTACATGCTTCTCTATGGAAACAAGCTTCTCCTATCTTCAGGTTGATAGCAAAGGTGCTCGAGTCATCTGCAAGAACGAGAAAGAAGTCTTTGAGTTCGTAGGTCATCCTTGGTTGGAGCCCAACGAGAGGAACCTTTGAAAAATCTTCCAGAGGTGACCTTTTTCGTTGTTATGAATTGTCAGATAAAACTTGTTGAAATGTATGGCAGGACCGGCGACTTGAAGCGAGCCAGAGAAGTCTTTGATTCCATCAAAGACAATGCCAGAGACTCTTTCTCGTGGGAGACTCTCCTCTACGCCTACTGCCGCAACAAAAACTTGAAAGAGTCCAGGCAGACCTTCGAGCAAATGCCCGTCAAAACTCTCGTCGCCTGGAACATGATGCTCACTGCAAACGCTCGTAATGGTGAGCTGCCCGAGGCTGAGCGACTGTTTGAGGAAATGCCCGGACGAAACATCGTCTCGTGGACGTCCATGCTCGCAGCGTACGCTATTAACGGGGAATTCGAGCTTGCGGCGAGGTTCTTCTCCGCCATGCCCGAGAAGAACTTAGTGTCATGGAATTCGATGCTCTCGATCCGCTCAAAACTTGGCGATACTGACGCTGCGAAGGTTTTGTTCGATCGAATGCCGCAGTGGAGTTTAGTCTCGTGGACGTGTTTGCTTTCGGCAAATGCCGAAGGTGGCGAACTCTTACACACAAAGCTGGTGTACGACTCCATGCCGGAGGTGGATATTGTCTCTTGTACGGCTATCATGGGAGTTTATGCTAACCATGGCTGCTTTGATGAAATCGCGGTTGTTTTTAATGCAATGCAAGAGCGGGATATCATCGCATGGAACGTTCTTCTTCTTGCAAATGCCACAAATGGGCAACTTTTCGAATCTGAAAGAATCTTTAATTCCATGCCAGAGAGAAGCTTGTCTTCGTTCACTTCGCTACTGGGGCTATATTCCAATGATGGTTTAGTTCAAGAGGCAGAGAATCTTTTTAACTCTATGCCAGAGAGGGATTCCATTGCCTGGAACGCAATGCTCGCGGCATATTCCCAAACAGGGAATCTAGAACTCGTCAAGTGTACGTTTGACCAGATGCCAGTCCACGACGTTGTGTCGTACACGTGCATGATGGGAGCATATTCGCAACATGGGAATCTCGACTACGCAGTGGACCTGTACGAAAGAATGCCCTACCGGGACTCGAGATTGTACGACTTAATAACTTGGACATATGCCCACAATGGGCAAATGGATCTAGCAAAACGTACACTGTACGAAGCTCCAGAGAAGACAATGCCGACGTGGAACTCCGTACTACTAGGATATACCTACAACAGACATGTTTTCCACGCCGAGATGCTCTTCCGTGCAATGCCCCAAAGGGACCTTGTGACGTGGACTGCCTTGCTGGCGGCATATGCCCAAAATGGGCATTTTTACCACGCACGCTATCTTTTTACTCTAATGAATTTCGACGTGTCACCGGACTCTATTTGCTTTGTTTTGCTGCTAATTTCCACTAGCTACATTGGACAGCTCTCCATAGCAAGGAGTTTCTTTCTTTCCATGGTTTTAGACTTTGGCATCTCTCCATCTAAGCAACATTATAGCGCTATGATAGATCTCCTGTCTAGGGCCGGCCACGTGGAGGGCGCACAAGAGCTCGCGCGGACGATGCCCTACGTCCCAGAGGCGGTAGAGTGGCGATGCGTGCTGTTTGGAAACATCCAAGGATATTCCGCTAGCGCGGGTGATTATTCCGCCACCGTCTCGGCATATACCGTTAAATGCCGTAAGCTTTGAGCAGGATATCTCCAAAATTTGCGTGTTTGTGTGGAGGAGGTGAAGGCGGCTCCAGGGCTCCGGTAAGCGCTCGCCTGCCAATCCAAAGCTCTTGCGCTGGCCGCGCTCTCGCGGATTGGCGACGAGGTTTTGGTTAGATTTCGTGCGTTTCGGATTCTAGGGTTTTTGGATTCTCGCGGCCGCTTGCTGTGCGCGTGAGTAATCGGTGAATTCCAGCTGCTGTGCGCTGCTTGGATTGCGGCGTTTCCTGCTCGAGGCATTTGTGTGGTGGCACGGTTTCCTGCACAGAGCATTGATTTTTTCGTGTTTTTTTCTTTGCTGGACTTAATATTTTTTCTCTGGTTTGCTTTCTTCGCTGAAAGTCTAAATTTCTTCTCTGCTTTTGGTTGCTGGTTTGATTCCTTTTGCGATTTTTTTTCTCGAACTCAAGATTTTTTGTTTTGCAGAAACCAAGATCTTCCAATAAGTCGAGAAACATGGCAGCCGGAGCACTTTCTCAGTCTCCAGCCCTGTCGGCTGGGATTCGCAGCGTTCCCGCAAGCCGGCAACAAAAATCCAGTAGAACAAGAAGAGGTACTGTGAGTATGATAAGAGGCTCGAATCATGGCCAAGTCCGAGCGGCCTTTATCACGAGAACGAGGACGCTACAAACGTATGTCGGCATGCGAAAGCCAAGTCCCTTGGATTCTCTAGCAACGAGCACTTGCAAGGATTGGAACTCAGTGGTTTCAAGTGTTTCCACCAGCGGGGGAAGAGGTGCTTCTCGTGGTGTGGTTGTCGCTATGTTCGAGCGCTTCACCGAGAAAGCCATCAAAGTTATCATGTTGGCACAGGAGGAGGCTCGCAGGCTGGGACACAATTTTGTAGGCACTGAACAGATTCTTCTGGGTCTTATCGGAGAAGGGACCGGTATCGCTGCCAAGGTTTTGAAGTCCATGGGAGTTAATCTCAAGGAAGCTCGGGTGGAGGTTGAGAAGATTATTGGAAGGGGAAGTGGTTTTGTTGCCGTGGAGATTCCTTTCACTCCTCGCGCAAAGCGTGTATTGGAGCTTTCTCTCGAAGAAGCACGCCAGCTGGGTGAGTGGTCGTCTTGCTTGAAAGCTTTTGCAGCTCACAACGTGTTATTCTTTTGTCTTTTGTCTCACAGGACACAATTACATCGGGTCGGAGCATTTGCTTCTTGGACTTCTGCGAGAAGGAGAAGGTGTGGCAGCTCGTGTGCTTGAAAACCTGGGAGCTGATCCTGGAAACATTCGGACGCAGGTAAACCTAGCTAATTGAAGTAACAAGAAAAAACATTCGTGTTGTTTTTCAGGTTATTCGAATGGTCGGAGAGAGCACAGAGGCTGTTGGTGCGAGTGTCGGCGGAGGTAGCAGTAGCAACAAGATGCCAACGTTGGAGGAGTATGGCACGAACTTGACGAAACTAGCAGAAGAAGTAAGTGGCCGTGTCTGGAAAAGTTGTCAAGTAGCTCAAGTTTTTATTTTTTGCACAGGGTAAACTAGATCCCGTGGTGGGAAGGCAGCAACAAATTGAGCGTGTTACACAAATTCTTGGTCGTCGGACGAAGAACAACCCTTGTTTGATTGGAGAACCTGGCGTTGGAAAGACTGCAATTGCTGAAGGTCTTGCGCAGCGAATTGCGACAGGAGACGTTCCTGAAACTATTGAAGGGAAAAAGGTTCTATGCAATTTCTTTGAAAAATTTCCTTGCATATTGACTTTGAATATTTCAGGTCGTTACATTAGACATGGGACTGCTTGTTGCCGGGACAAAGTACCGTGGAGAATTTGAAGAGCGTCTGAAGAAACTCATGGAAGAAATTAAGCAATCCGATGACATTATTCTTGTTATCGATGAGGTGCATACTTTGATTGGAGCTGGCGCTGCTGAAGGAGCCATCGATGCGGCCAATATTTTGAAGCCTGCTCTTGCTCGTGGCGAACTTCAGGTAAATATTTGTATCGTGAAACTTGTGCTAATTCCAGTCTTTGCTAGTGCATTGGTGCTACGACCATTGACGAGTACAGGAAACATATAGAGAAGGATCCCGCCCTGGAAAGACGATTCCAGCCAGTTAATGTGCCGGAGCCCACCGTCGACGAAACCATTCAAATTCTCAAAGGACTGCGAGAGCGGTATGAAATCCATCACAAGCTACGGTACACAGATGAGGCGCTTGTCGCCGCTGCTCAGCTGTCTTACCAGTATATCAGCGACCGTTTCCTTCCGGACAAGGCCATTGATCTTATCGACGAAGCTGGTTCTCGCGTCCGACTGAGACACGCACAGGTGACGCTGTTTTTAGTCTTGGATATCGCAACTCACACGTTTTCTGTTTCTTTCTTTCTGTAGCTGCCTGAAGAAGCCAGAGATCTTGACAAGGAACTCAGGCAAATCACCAAAGAGAAAAACGAAGCTGTGCGTGGACAAGACTTTGAGAAGGTCCGTCGTCTTTACTTAGACCATTTTATTTTACATGGTAGTTGACTGATTTTTATTCTGGCAGGCTGGCGAGCTGAGAGATCGCGAGATGGAGCTCAAGGCACAGATCTCAGCCATCACCGAGAAAGGAAAAGAGAAGTCTAAGGCAGAAACCGAAGCTGGCGAAACAGGTCCCTTGGTCACAGAGGCCGATATCCAGCAGATTGTGTCAGCATGGACAGGCATTCCCGTGGAGAAAGTCTCAACCGACGAGTCGGACAGGCTGATGAAAATGGAGGAGACGCTCCACCAGCGCGTCATTGGACAGGACGAGGCAGTGAAGGCGATCAGCCGAGCCATCCGCCGCGCTCGCGTCGGCCTCAAGAACCCGAACCGTCCCATTGCAAGCTTCATTTTCTCCGGTCCTACCGGTGTTGGAAAGTCGGAGCTCGCAAAGGCCCTGGCGGCGTACTACTTCGGCTCCGAGGAGGCCATGGTCAGGCTCGACATGAGCGAGTTCATGGAGAGACACACGGTGTCAAAGCTCATCGGCTCGCCTCCGGGATACGTTGGCTACACAGAGGGAGGCCAGCTCACAGAGGCCGTGAGGAGGCGTCCTTACACCGTGGTGCTGTTCGACGAGATCGAGAAAGCTCACCCGGACGTGTTCAACATGATGCTCCAGATCCTGGAGGACGGGAGGCTCACGGACAGCAAGGGACGAACGGTGGACTTCAAGAACACACTGCTGATCATGACCTCCAACGTGGGAAGCAGCGTGATTGAGAAGGGTGGCGGCGGCATTGGCTTCCAGCTCGACTACGGCGAGAAGGACAGCAGCTACAACCGGATCAAGACGCTGGTGAACGAGGAGCTCAAGCAGTACTTCAGGCCCGAGTTCTTGAACCGTCTGGACGAGATCATCGTGTTTAGGCAGCTGACCAAGACGGAGGTGAAGGAGATTGCGGATATCATGCTCAAGGAGGTGTTTGAGCGGCTCAAGAAGAAGGAGATCGATCTCCAGGTGACGGAGAGGTTTAGAGACCGGGTGGTGGACGAGGGATATAGCCCGAGCTATGGAGCTCGGCCGCTGCGAAGGGCGATCATGAGGCTTCTCGAGGATAGCATGGCCGAGAGGATGCTGTCCGGGGAGGTGAAAGAGGGCGATTCGGCGATCATAGATGTGGACTCTGAAGGAAACGTGACGGTGCTGAACGGAACTGCTGGAACCGCATCGAGCTCGAGCATTGAAGCTCCTGCTGGAGTTGCTTAAAACTCTCCCTTTTTTTTTCTTTTTTCTTCTTTTTTCCTTTTTAGCGAGATCCCTTGGAAGTGGGAGAAGTGTATAAACAGTATTACTATTATTATTGGCAATTGCAGTAAAAACCAAGTAGAATGTTATAAAATCAATTGGTCTTTCTACTCTTAGACTTAATGAAATTTATTTAAATATTCTAGAATATTCTACCATTTAACAGTTGTTATTCATTTAGATTAATTTTGTATTTATAATTTATAAACTTTCTTAAACACTTTCTAGTATATTCTGATTTATTTTACCATATTTCATTAATTAAATTATTAAATAATAATTAACAAGCCTTGATGCATGCAATAGCAAATTATTTTATAAAATATAAAGTACAAGAGGAATTCATATTAAATTGCACAATTCTTATTTGGTCCATATTCGTAAAATTCAACAGTATGATCGACATGTTTGTAACAACCCGTAAAAGACCACCAATCCCAGCCACCCCAACCAGTAGTGGTGTATTTTGCTGTACCAATAAAAACTATTGCTTGCAAATCATCACTGTCTATTTGAAAATCATCTGTTTCTTCTATTGGATTTGGAGTTATTGCTTCTTTGAAAGACTTTGATTTGTTATATATAAATATATTAGCATTTCCTTTATGTTTAGATCTGTAATAATCTAATTTACAAGTCATTATTTTTTTCCAATCAGTATTCCAACAGTGATTAAATCCTTGAGAAAGAGTAACAATTATAAAACTTGTATATAGTAAAAGTGAAATAAAACTAAATAAATAAAACTTTGGAAATGCCATGGGCGGAAAGCATGAATAAGTTGTATTTGTATATAATAAAAATATTAAACTAATAACAAAAGCATATATACCATTTATGAAAAACAGTGTATATGAATTATATAGACACGTGTAAAAATCTTTCTCCTATGGTTCTCAGTAGGTTTAGAACAACAGATTTTAATACAAATAAACATTATAAAATCTTGCAGTGTTTAGAAGTTTTCTAGCGCCAACAACTAAAATCCAATTACGAAAAGATTGACCAATGTTAATGTGAAGTCTTTCTTAGGACTAGGCAGCTCTAAACTTAGTGATAGTGCTGGATGCTGGGAGTATCATTGAAAACTTGGAGAAAGCTAACTGGAGATTCTTGGTGCTTACAAGTATACTCAAAACTTGACATAAAATCTAGCAAGGGACGAACGAATCAAATGGAATAAATTCATTTGTGCTCTAGCAATCCATCTACAAATTAATCCACTTAACACTTTCGTATATGGAGTTGATTCCTCACCCAATATTCCTTTTACATATGTTAACAACTAGTCACCGAACGAACTAGTGGATCATAGAATTTTGACCGACGTGGAACATTGCGAAGCAGCCACGTGGATTCCTCCGACACCAAAGGGTCAAAATGTCGCGTGAGATTTTCATTTTTAGGTCAGAGCGTGAGGCGGTCTCAGCGGGTCTCGGCGATGGCGGCAGTGCAAGTGGGATCTTCCAGCAGCGGCGGATTTGCGAGCAGCTCGTGCCGGGCGCAGCAATCCAGCGTCGGTGCCAAGCGCAGCATCCACTTCACGGTAGGGAAATTTGGGCAAGATGTGGCTAGATCTGAGCTTCCTCTCTCGTCTCTTTCGCAGGCTTCCACAAGTTTCTTTGGGAAGAGGGACTCGCTGAGGATAAAAAATGGGTTTTCCAGGCCGGGAAGAGGTCCGTGTCACATTGTCAAAGCTCAGAGTGGAAGAAGTAGTGCCACTTCCATGGTCGGTCCTTGGGAGCCCGAGTCGCCCATCGGCCAGTTCCTAGTCTCGCTGCTCCAGAGCCATCCTCATCTCTTCCTAGAAGCAGCCGAGCAGCACATCCAGCAGCTTGCCGCTGATAAGAACGCCGCGGCTGAGAAGTCGACCAATTCTTCCGACTCAGAGCTCGTCCTCTACAAGTAAGTTTCTCTCTTACGTAGAAAAGAGAAGTTTGTCAATGGAAAGACGTAAGCCAACTCTCTCTTCTATTTTTCTTTCTCAGGAGAATCGCGGAAGTTAAAGAACAGGAGCGCCAGAAAGCGGTCGTGGAAGTGATCTATTCTCTAGTCGTCCAAAAGTTCCTTGACTCGAGGCTGGCTCTGGTTCCCAAGATTCCGAGCCTCCCCGCGAACCAAAAGGTGGACAGCAACTGGCAATCCGTGCTGGGCGACATGGAATCGATCCACTCGGCCGAGGTTCTTGAGGTCGTGAGAGACCACCTCGGGATGATCCTCGGCCGCCCCTCGCCGCACTACCAAGAGCCATACACTCTGGTCCAAGCCAGCAAGATGAAGATCGGCCATCTCTATGCGGCGACGGTGGTGTTTGGCTACTTCCTCCGGCGTCTCGACCAGAGATATCAGCTCGACCTGAGCATGAAGAAAGCTCTGAGCAGCGACAAACACGAGGACGAAGAACAAGGAGTGGAGTCAGGGCCGGGAGTGTCCGAGGAGCTCGACTTTAAGACTGACGCAGAGGGAGAGAAGCTGGCGGCCGAGGCAAACGCGGCAGTGCAAGCGATGCAAGCGGCAAAATCGTCGACCACTCGAGGCGGGCTTGGAGGATCCGGAGTTTTCCCGCAGCTGGGATGGAAGCCGAGCAAGCTCAAGAGCTATGTCATGTCGCTGGACCCGGAGAGCTTGCAGAGGTTTGCGACGCTGCGTTGCAAGGAGAGCTTGGACGTTGTGGAGAGGCAGACACAGGCGCTGTTTGGCAAGCCCGAGGCGGAGATCGCCCCGGATGGATCCGTGGTTTTGCTCGCCGGTGACTCGTTTACCATCAGCTTGTCCGGGCTGAGGAGATTGGTGACGGAAGCGGTGGTGTTTGGGAGCTTCTTGTGGGACGCCGAGGCTCACGTTGATTCTCACTACAACTTGGTTGGCTAAGATGTCTGTGACACTCCCTTGAACTTGGAGTTTGTAGTAATCTGTATTGGAGCTTGCGAGCACCAGCTTCTTTTTCAAACTGTGTTGATTGAATGCAAAACAAGTTACATCTTTGGAATGCCCTTATATATATACTCTAGCAAAAATCTAGAATTTAATTTTGCAATTTTAAAAATGAATTTTCTGGCAAATAGTAGACAGGTAGACAATTATATAAATTTAAATATACCTTAGAAAACATGATATGGTATTTTACTAATTCAATTCAAGATTTAAAAAGTCATTAACTACATATATATTAATAATACCTACTTTTAGTTACACAATTTTTCTTAAATCTGCTTAAAATCTTAGTGCTTTAGATTTATTCACATCAATACTGAATCTATATTAATAAAAAATTTAGTAATTCTTTTTTTACTTTGTCCAAGTAGTAATATATTACTGTTCTTAAAATCATAAAGCATAGTGAGAGGGATAAATTAAGATTATCAAGACTCATAATACAAAGGATGGTTCATGTTGTCTTGGTATGACAATTAAGACTATTCTAGCTATATATGTATAAATATCAAAATTGCCAAAAAATATTGATACATTTTTTGATTTTACTAGCATTTCTTGAGAAATAATTTTCTTCTAAGCTTAAAAAAATCCAATACAATTACCATACATAGAGAGAGAATAATAACAGAAAAATAAAAACAAGAGACAGCTGGTGTAGTGACTTAAGAAAGTGTTAACAATGTTTTTTTGTCCTTTATTGTTGAAACTTCATTTAAATCATAGTCCATTTCCATTTAACAACGAGTGTAATAGACATATAAAATTCTCTTCAAATATGGGATTAGTAAAGTTTTGTTCATTCATCCTTATTTTGGTATTAGGATTTACATGTTCTATAATCTTTACTATTGCTCAGACTTTTGACCATTGTTGGAATCCTGTAAATATGAAAAGTTCTATGATGTGTAAATTAGATTATTACAACTCAAAACTCAAAGAAAATAAGGTAAATATTTTTATATATAATCAAGCAAATGAGAACGACTTCAAGGAAAAAACAGATCCAAATCCAATAATAGAAAGTGATGACTTCTCCATGGGTTATGAAACTTATCATGTAATAATTTTTACTGGTGCAGCAAAATATACCACTACAGGTTGGGGCGGTTGGTATATGTGGTCCTTCAGAGGTTGTTTTGAACATGCTAAACATACTGTTGAATTTCATGAATGTTCATAAGTTCTTAGTAAAATTTCTGGAAATGAATAGTAAATAATAACATTCCCAAGGCAGGAAGCTAGTTTTGGATTTAATTGTCAAGACAAAAGCCACTCTCATGCTCCAATACAAGTCAATCCATCCCAGCCGCGGGAAAACTCGACTCCTCTCAAGAGCTTGATGATTTTGCCACTTACACTGCCGTGTTTAGAACATGGTGCTGACAATCTTCAGTCAAAACGGCAGCCAAGGATCATCCGTGGTAACCTTGGATCCATGGATTTTACATGTTGCCGTGCACGGATTGACAGTTGCCGTCCACCTTCTCGTTCACTGTGAGGCTCAGGATCTCACCAGGCCAGCCTCGGGTCGAGGAACTTTTGGACGACTAGAGAGTACAGATCAATTCCACGACCACCTTCTGGCGCTGTTCTTTAACTTCCGTGATTCTCCTGAGAAAGAAAAAGTGAAGAGCGAGTTGGCTAAGTCATTGACAAACTTCTCTTTTCTATGTACGAGAGAAACTTACTTGTAGAGGACGAGCTCTGAGCCAGAAGAACTCGATGACTCCTCAGCCACGGTGATTTTATCAACGGGAAGCTGCTGGATGTGCTGCTCGGGTGGCTCCATTGGCAAGATGAGACCAAATGGCAGTGAAGAGTTTTTGTCGTACTCCGTTTTTCCTTGCTTCTTTGGTTCAAAGCCTGCAAATCCCTAGATTATAACTTCGTTTTGTTTGCCGATATTCGTTCGTCTAGCTGCCAAACTCTATGTGTGCTTTGCAAAGCATTGCTTCTCCTTTGACTTGGTATAATCCCTAGTGTGTCAGGATGCGATACTCCCTAACCATCAAAACCTTGTGCTCATCCAAATCTGCAAGAGCTAACCAATAGAGTTTAGGGGTTGTATGTATATTTGGGTTTAGAGACCTTTTTTATATTTTCTTTTGGATTGCTATAAGGCAAGTTGCTATAGTGGTATGCATCCTCAAATGTAACTCCATCATAAAGGTGTCAATTTGTAACCAAATTTTTTTCACTTCATAATGCTTTATAAGAATGTTGGAAATGGCTAAGAGAAATTCTTAATTTTAAATGACAACAATTGAATTATCAAATGCAAAGTGGTGAGAATCTTGGAAACAAGACTTTAATATATAATTTTGATAAGCCAAAGCAATTTATTCCAAAATTGCTCATCACTATCACTCATATATCCATTCTACATTTGCAATGAAGATATCTCTTAATCTATTATTGTTTTGAATATCTTCTTTATAAGCATAAAACTCTAATCCCCACTACTAATATTGCATCCACTTGTAAACTATGTAAGTTTCATCCCTCTAAAAGTATCTAAGAGCACTTTCTTAATAACTCCTTTCTTTATTAAATTTTTTTGAAAGAATAAGGAGAGTCTTCGATAAAGTTAGAATTGGAATTATTCTAAAATGAGGACTTTTTGCTCTCAATAAAGAACTCTCATTTTTAGTTTTTCATGAAGATGAAAGAAACTTAATCACAAGCTATCATCTAATGAGGAACAATAGATTAGAATAACACCTTCATTAAACTTTGCTCAACCACTCATTTTTCATGACTTCCATCAAGAATGTAGAAAAGGAAAGGTATAGGAGAAAAGAAAAAAAGAAATTAATGATGCTTAATGATCATGCAGCAAGCATCAATGAATCTTATAAAGCAACTTAGTAAAGTATAAAACATAAATCATGGAAGAGATCATTTGAAGTTTTACATTAGAAATATGAAGTTTAGTATTCTATTTCCTCTCTTGTCATTTTTTGTGCGGTGAATATAAATGTATTTTCACTTGTGGAAATCCTTATAGTGCGGTTCTTTAGAAGAATTTTGAGGAGCAATGATGTGATTGAGAATATATCTTTTGATAAAAGAGTTAACAATGATCCTATTGATTCTTCAACCTCTCTTCATATTATCATAACATCATTGTGTTTAAAATTGGTGGCTAATATCACATCATGCCTTGTGTTTTGAGAGAAAAAGAGAGGAATTTCTAATTTTTATATTTTTTAAAGAAATAAATGTAAACAACCAAAGGGAACAATTTGAGAAATGATCTATAGAGGTTCAAATATAGAAAAAAGGGCCCATGAACAAAAATACATTTTCTTTTTTAATTGGTTAAGGTAGATAGGTTTAAAACATTTGGTATTAGAGTGGGGTTTTATGTCCAACTTTATTAATTGGTTAGGGGATTCACACCATATATTGAAATTGACATTTAATTTTAAAGGGTAAAGTTAGTTTCAAGTCCCACTTTGTTAATTGGCTAAAGAAATCATACCACATGTTGAGATTAACATTTGGTCCTAAAAGGTAGGGTGTCAAGAGACAAATCTAATTTTGTTAGTTGGTTAGAAGAATCATATTATATTTTGAGATTAACATTTGATCTTAAGGGGTAGGATGTTAAAAGATGGGTCTGACTTTATTTATTAATTAAGGGATTACACCACATATTGAGATTAACATTTGGTTTTGAGGGGTAGAGTGTCAAGAGAGTGGGGCTCTCAAGAGAGTTGTGGCTATTAACTTTCTTTCATAAGAGCGTGAACTTAGATTATAAACAATTAAAAGGAACAACTCAAAAGACTATAGGGGTTTAAATATAAAGGGAAAAAATATATTATAAGCAATTAAAGGGAATGACTTAAGTGACACTTCCTGTTAAACACCATCCTGATTCATTCTTTCTCCGCTTACCTGGCAATGACATGGCATCAGCCCTTCTTTTTGTTTTATCTCCAACGCACTCTCTCTCCCGTCTGTTGCTGCTGCGCACTCCCACCCGCGGCTATCGTCTATACACAGCTCCCACCCACCCACTCGCCCTCACAGCTCTTGCCCACACTCCCACCTGCCCCCGCACATCCACCCACGCCCAGCATGCGCCCTAAAATTACTTCCACGTGGCCACAGCCCCAACACTTAGCCAAATTTCAATCAGCACACGTGTGGATGCCTTTCTACGTGCTTTACGTGGCCAATGAGTGTCATGGATGACCATTAGGAGTGGTAAACTTATGAAATCTTCTCACTAATTTGAATATATGCAATGTAAGTATGTAAAGAGTTTGTTTTTTTATTTATTATTTGCTAAGATTGAGTTTTTCGTTTAAAGAGCTTTTCTTTCTTGTCTTCCTCTGCCTAGTAAAAGAAGTTGCTTCTAGACTACTAGAAGTTTTTCTTTTACCTGTAATTCTTTCCACCAAAGGTTTTGCTCGTTTCAAGGATGTACCATAACTATCAACACGCTGTTGAAATTCTGTTGTAGGATGAATAAGATCATTTGGCCTAGCTTTAAAAGTTGCAACCTTCTACTGTATTATTTCTAAATCTTCATCAACCATAGATAAAAAAGCTTCTTCATCAAAAAGATCTTGTAAGATATCTATCATCTTTTGCTGTAATATCGCTTTTGTAACTTTTGATGGAGTGATATCTTCCTGCTCAAAGTTCATATCAATATTTAAAATTTACTTAGTGTAAATTACCTCTATAGTAGTCCTTAGCTGAATCTCTTGTTGATGCTGTATATTTTGATGGATATCTTCCTGCTCAATATTCATATATATTAGTATATAAAATATGCTAGTTTACCTCTAATGTAGTCTCCAATTGAATTTCTTACTCATGATAAACATTTTGATAAATGTTTTCTTCCTGCTCAAATTTTTATAAGTATTTCAAAATTTTCATTAATAAGTGAATTACCTCTGTCATAGCTTCCAAGTCAAGTGCTTCAAAATCTTGATAACGATAAAATAAGTCATCCAACCCAAGTTCTAAAATTGCATGTGATTGTGATGGTTGAACTTCATAACTAGTTGTAGTCCAATCGGTTTTTTCTCTTTGT